GTGATCAGGTGGGAAAATGGCGATTTTGGGGGGAAAAATGGGAATTTTGGGGGAAAAAAATGGGAATTTTGGGGGAAAAAATGGGGATTTTGGGAAAAAAAATGGGATTTTGGGAAAAAAAATTGGATTTTTGGAGGAAAAAATGAGATTTTGGGAGCAAAAAATGGGATTTTTTGGGGAAAAAACCTGAATCAAATGGGGTTTGGGGATGAAAAAATGGGATTGGGAACAGGAAATGGGGTTTGGGGAGAGAATTCCCCAAAAAAATGGGATTTTGGGGTAAAAAAAATGGGATTTGGGGATTGAAAAATGGGATTTTTCTGCAGCCAGGGCTGGGGGCTGCTGGAGCAGCTGGTGGTGCCCCCCGACATGATCAGGTGGGGAATGGGAATTTTGGGGGGAAAAATGGGAATTTGGGAAAAAAAACGGGAATTTTGGGGGAAAAAATGGGAAATTTGGGAGAAAAAATGAGATTTTTTTGGGGAAAAAAATGAGATTTTGGGAGCAAAAAATGGGATTTTTTTGGGAAAAAACCTGATGTAAATGGGGTTTGAAATTGAAAATGGGATTGGAGGAGAGAATTCCCAAAGAAATGGGAATTTGGGAGAAAAAAATGGGATTTTGGGGAGAAAAATGGGATTTTTGTGCAGTCAGGGAGGTCCATGAGAGACTCGGGGGGCTGCTGGAGCAGCTGGTGGTGACCCCCGACATGATCAGGTGGGAAATTTGGGGAAAAAATTGGGATTTTGGGAAAAAAAATGGGGATTTTGGGAGAAAAAATGAGATTTTTAGAGAAAAAAATGGAAATTTTGGGAGAAAAAATGGGATTTTTGGGAGAAAAAATGAGATTTTTGGAGAAAAAAATGGGATTTTTTTTGGGAAAAAGACAGAACCAAATGGTGGTTGAAATTCAAAAATCCGATTTGAGGAGAGAATTCCCAAAAAAATGGGAATTTGGGGAAAAAATGGGATTTTGGAGAAAAAAATGGGGTTTTTGTACAGTCAGGGAGGTCCATGAGAGACTCGGGGGCTGCTGGAGCAGCTGGTGGTGACCCCGACATGATCAGGTGGGAAAACGGGAAATTTGGGTAAAAAAATGGGGATTTTGGGAAAAAAAAATGGGAATTTTGGGAGAAAAAATGAGATTTTTTAGAGAAAAAAATGGAATTTTGGGAGGAAAAAATGGGATTTTTGGAGAAAAAAATGGGATTTTTGGGGAAAAAACCTGAACCAAATGGGGCTTGAAATTGAAAATGGCATTTGAGGAGAGAATTCCCAAAAAATAGGAATTTCGAGGGAAAAATGGGAATTTGGGAGGAAAAAATGGGCTTTTTGGAGAAAAAATGGGATTTTTGTGCAGTCAGGGAGGTCCAGAGAGACTCGGGGGCTGCTGGAGCAGCTGGTGGTGACCCCGACATGATCAGGTGGGAAAATGGGAAATTTGGGAAAAAAATTGGGATTTTGGGAAAAAAAATGGGAATTTTGGGAGAAAAAATGGGATTTTGGGAGGAAAAAATGGGATTTTTAGAGAAAAAAGTGGAATTTTGGAAGAAAAAATGGGATTTTTTGGGGAAAAAACCTGAAGCAAATGGGGTTTGAATCTAAAAAATGGGATTTGAGGAGAGAATTCCCAAAAAAATGGGAATTTGGGAGAAAGAAATGGGAATTTGGGGGAAAAAAATGGGAATTTTGGGAGAAAAATGGGGTTTTAGTACAGTCAGGGAGGTCCAAAGAGACTCGGGGGGCTGCTGGAGCAGCTGGTGGTGACCCCGACATGATCAGGTGGGAAATGGGGATTTTTGGGGAAAAAAATGGGAATTTTGGGGAAAAAAATGGGAATTTTGGGAGAAAAAATGGGATTTTGAGACCAAAAAATGGGATTTTTTGGAGAAAAAATGGGATTTTGGGAGCAAAAAATGGGATTTTTTGGGGAAAAAACCTGAAACAAATGGGGTATGAAAGTGAAAAATCAGATTTGAGGAGAGAATTCCCAAAAAAATGGGAATTTGGGAGAAAGAAATGGGATTTTGGGGTGAAAAATGGGATTTTTGGAGAAAAATGGGGTTTTTGTGCAGTCAGGGGTGCCTGGGGGGGCTGCTGGATGAGCTTTGGTGACCCCGACATGATCAGGTGGGGAAAGAGCAAAAAATGGGATTTTGGGAAAAAAAACGGGGATTTTGGGGAAAAAATGGGAATTTGGGGGAAAAAAATGGGATTTTTGGGAGAAAAAATGGGATTTTTGGGAGAAAAAATGAGATTTTTGGAGCAGAAAATGGGATTTTTTGGGGGAAAAACCTGATGCAAATGGGGTTTGAAATTGAAAATGGGATTTGAGGAGAGAATTCCCGGAAAAATGGGAATTTGGGAGAAAGAAATGGGATTTTGGGGTGAAAAATGGTATTTTTGGAGAAAAAAATGGGATTTTTCTGCAGCCAGGGCTGGGGGCTGCTGGAGCAGCTGGTGGTGACCCCGACATGATCAGGTGGGGAAATGGGGATTTTTGGGGAAAAAATGGGAATTTTGGGCTAAAAAACTGGAATTTGGGCCAAAAAAATGGAGTTTCAGCAAAAAAAAATGGATTTTAATGGAATTTCAGTGGGATTTCAGTGGGATTCTAATGGAATTTCCATGGAATTTCTATGGGATTTCAATGGAATTTTATGGGATTTCCATGGAATTTTATGGGATTTCAGTGGGATTTCAATGGGATTTCCATGGAATTTCAGTGGGATTCTAATGGAATTTCCATGGAATTTTATGGGATTTCAATAGGATTTTATGGAATTTCCATGGGATTTTATGGGATTTTCTTGGGATTTGCATGGGATTTGCATGGGATTTTAATGGGATTTCAACAGGGATTTTAATTGGATTTTATGGAATTTTCATGGAATTTCAATGGGATTTCAATGGAATTTTATGGGATTTTCATGGAATTTCAATGGGATTTTGTGGGACTTCAATGGAATTTCAGTGGGTTTTTCCCATTTTTCCATGGATTTTTTTCCATTTTTCCATGGATTTTTCCCGTTTCCCGATGGATTTTGATGGATTTTCCCCACGATTTTGACGGATTTCAATGGAATTTTCCCATTTTTGACCTTTTTTCTCCAGTTTTTCCCCATTTTTCCATCCCCAGGGTGACCCTGGAGGCGTCACCGGAGTCCCGGCACGGCTGTGGGATTTCCATGGGATTTCAGTGGGGTTCTGCGAGAAAATTCCCATTTTTCCATGGATTTGGATGGAAAATTCCCATTTTTGTTGGATTTTGATGGAAAATTCCCATTTTTTGATGGATTTTGATGGAAAATTCCCATTTTTTGATGGATTTGGATGGAAAATTCCCATTTTTGATGGATTTTGATGGAAAATTCCCATTTTTTGATGGATTTTGATGAAAAATTCCCATTTTTGTTGGATTTTGATGGAAAATTCCCATTTTTCGATGGATTTTGATGGAAAATTCCCATTTTTCGATGGATTTTGATGGGAATTTTCCCATTTTTTGCCGTTTTTACCCCATTTCTCCATGCCCAGCGTGATCCTGGAGGCGCCGGTGACCTCCCCCGAGTTCCTGGAGCAGCTGCGGGTGCTGGATGGGATTTTAACGGGATTTTAACGGGATTTCAATGGGATTTTGATGGAAAATTCCCATTTTGGATGGATTTTGATGGGAATTTTCCCGTTTTTTGCCGTTTTCACCCCAATTTTCCATCCCCAGCGTGATCCTGGAGGCGCCGGTGACCTCCCCCGAGTTCCTGGAGCAGCTGCGGGTGCTGGTCGGGATTTAATGGGATTTGATGGGATTTTAATGGGATTTTGATGGAAAATTCCCATTTTTTGATGGATTTTGATGGGAATTTTCCCGTTTTTTTGCCGTTTTTACCCCAATTTTCCATCCCCAGCGTGATCCTGGAGGCCCCAGTGACCTCCCCCGAGTTCCTGGAGCAGCTGCGGGCGCTGGACGGGATTTGATGGGATTTAATGGAATTTCAATGGAAAATCTCCATTTTTCGATGGATTTTGATGGGAATTTTCCCGTTTTTTGCTGTTTTTACCCCATTTTCCATCCCCAGCGTGATCCTGGAGGCGCCGGTGACCTCCCCCGAGTTCCTGGAGCAGCTGCGGGCGCTGGACGGGATTTGATGGGATTTCAATGGAATTTTAATAGAATTTTCCCATTTTTCGATGGATTTTGATGGGAATTTTCCCATTTTTGATGGGAATTTTCCCGTTTTTTGCCGTTTTTACCCCATTTTCCATCCCCAGCGTGATCCTGGAGTCCCCGGTGACCTCCCCCGAGTTCCTGGAGCAGCTGCGGGCGCTGGACGGGATTTTAACGGGATTTTGATGGGATTTTGATGGAAAATTCACATTTTTCGATGGATTTTGATGGGAATTTTCCCATTTTTTGCTGTTTTTACCCCATTTTCCATGCCCAGCGTGATCCTGGAGGCGCCGGTGACCTCCCCCGAGTTCCTGGAGCAGCTGCGGGCGCTGGATGGGATTTGATGGGAATTTAACGGGACTTTAATGTAATTTTCCCATTTTTTGATGGATTTTGATGGAAAATTCCCATTTTTCGATGGATTTTGATGGGAATTTTCCCGTTTTTTGCCGTTTTTACCCCATTTCTCCATCCCCAGCGTGATCCTGGAGTCCCCAGTGACCTCCCCCGAGTTCCTGGAGCAGCTGCGGGCGCTGGACGGGATTTGATGGGATTTAATGGGATTTTGATGGGATTTTGATGGAAAATTCCCATTTTTCGATGGATTTTGATGGGAATTTTCCCGTTTTTTGCCATTTTTACCCCATTTCTCCATCCCAGCGTGATCCTGGAGGCGCCGGTGACCTCCCCCGAGTTCCTGGAGCAGCTGCGGGCGCTGGACAGGATTTAATGGGAATTTAACAGGATTTTAATGGAATTTCTCCATTTTTCGATGGATTTTGATGGGAATTTTCCCGTTTTTTGCCGTTTTTACCCCATTTTCCATGCCCAGCGTGATCCTGGAGGCGCCGGTGACCTCCCCCGAGTTCCTGGAGCAGCTGCGGGCGCTGGACGCGCAGATCGGGGCGGTGAAGGAGGAATCGTTCCGTGACACCGTCGCCTGCGCCGACGTCCAGCACGTCCTCGACAAGCTCCGCATCAAGGTCCCGTCCCAAAAATTCCAGCCCCAGAATTCCCAAAAATCCCAGCCCAAAATCCTGGGAATTACACAAAAAAATTTCTGTGATCCCAGCCCAAAAATCCCAGGAATTATCAAAACAATTCCCGCGTTCTCAACTCAAAAATTTCAAGAATTACCCAAAAAAATTCCAAGAATTACCCATAAAATTCCTGCATTCCCAGGCCAAAAAATCCCCAAATTCCTCGTCAAAAAATCCCTGAATTCTCAGACTGAAATTTGCAGGAATTACCCAAAAAAATCCCCAAATTCCCAGGCCAAAAGATCTCAAAATCCCAGCCCCAAAATCCTGGGAATTACCCAAAAAAAATTCTGCGATCCCAGCCCAAAAATCCCGGGAATTACCCAAAAAATTCCCGCGTTCTCAACTCAAAAATCCCCACATTCCTGGCCAAAAAATCCTGGAATTCTCAGCCCAAAATCCCGGGAATTAGGCAAAAAAATTTCAAAAAATCACAGCCCAAAAATCCCGGGAATTGCACAACAAATTCCCGCGTTCTCAGCTCAAAAATTCCAAGAATTACCCAAAAAATTCCTGCATTCCCAGGTCAAAAATCCCCAAATTCCTGGCCAAAAAATCCCTGAATTCTCAGACTGAAATTCGCAGGAATTACCCAAAGAATCCCCAAATTCTCACCCAAAAATCCTGGGAATTACCCAAAAAATTCCTGCGTTCCCAGCTCAAAAAATCCCCAAATTCCTGGCCAAAAAATCCCGGAATTCTCAGCCCAAAATTCCCAGGAATTACGCAAAAAGAAATTCCAAAAAATCACAGCCCAAAAATCCCGGGAATTACACAAAAAATTCCCACTTTGTCAGCTCAAAAATTTCAAGAATTACCCAAAAAATTCCTGCGTTCCCAGGTCAAAAAATCCCCAAATTCCTGGCCAAAAAATTCCTGAATTCTCAGACTGAAATTTGCAGGAATTGCCCAAAAAAATCCCCAAATTCCCAACCCAAAAATTCCAGGTAAAAAAGCCCCAAATTCTCAGACTGAAATTCGCAGGAATTACCCAAAAAAAATCCCCAAATTCTCACCCAAAAATCCTGGGAATTACCAAAAAAATTCTTGCATTCCCAGCTCAAAAAATTCCGGAATTCCCAGCCCAAAATTCCCGGGAATTGCCAAAAAAAATCCTCAAATTCCCAGGCCAAAAGATCTCAAAATCCTGGGAATTAACAAAAAAAATTCCCCAAATTCCCAGGCCAAAAGATCTCAAAATCCTGGGAATTAACAAAAAAAATTTCTCAAATTCCCAGGCCAAAAATTCCAGGCTAAAAATTCCCAAATTCTCAGACTGAAATTCGCAGGAATTACCCGAAAAATCCCCAAATTCTCACCCAAAAATCCTGGGAATTACCCAAAAAAATCCCCACATTCCTGGCCAAAAAATCCCTGAATTCTCAGCCCAAAAATCCCGGGAATTACATAAAAAAATCCCGCGTTCTGAGCTAAAAAATTCCAGAAATTACCCAAAAAATTCTTGTGCTCCCAAGTCAAAAAATCCCCACATTCCTGGCCAAAAATCCCTGAATTCTCAGCCCAAAATTCCCGGGAATTACCCAAAAAAATCCCCAAATTCCCTGCCCAAAAATCCCCAAATTGTCAGAATGAAATTTGCAGGAATTACCTGGCCAAAAAGCCCCAAATTCTCACCCAAAAATCCTGGGAATTACCAAAAAAATTCCCACATTCCCAGGTCAAAAATCCCCAAATTCCTGGCCAAAAAAATCCCTGAATTCTCAGCCCAAAATCCCGGGAATTACGCAAAAAAATTTCAAAAAATCACAGCCCAAAAATCCTGGGAATTACACAAACAATTCCCACTTTCTCAGCTCAAAAATTCCAAGAATTACCCAAAAAAATTCCAAGAATTACCCATAAAAATTCCTGCGTTCCCAGGTCAAAAAATCCCCACATTCATGGCCAAAAATATCCCGGAATTTCCAGCCCAAAATTCCCGGGAATTACCCAAAAAAATCCCCAAATTCCCATCCCAAAAATTCCAGGCCAAAAATTCCCAAATTCTCAGACTGAAATTCGCAGGAATTACCTGAAAAATCCCCAAATTCTCGCCCAAAAATTCCGGGAATTACCCAAAAAATTTCCACGTTCTCAGCTCAAAAATTCCAAGAATTACCCAAAAAAATTCCTGCATTCCCAGGTCAAAAATCAGGAATTACCAAAAAAATTCCACAATTTCCCAGGTCAAAAAATCCCCACATTCCTGGCCAAAAAATCCCGGAATTCTCAGCCCAAAATCCCGGGAATTACACAAAAAAATCCCCAAATTCCCAGCCCAAAAATTCCAGGCCAAAAATCCCCAAATTCTCAGACTGAAATTTGCAGGAATTACCCAAATAATCCCGAAACTCTCAGCCAAAAATCCTGGGAATTACCAAAAGAATTCCCGCGTTCCCAGGTCAAAAAATCCCCAAATTCCTGGCCAAAAAATCCCTGAATTCTCAGGCCAAAATTCCCGGGAATTACCCAAAAAAATCCCCAAATTCTCACCCAAAAATCCTGGGAATTACCAAAAAATTCCTGCTCTCCCAGGTCAAAAAATCCCCACATTCCTGGCCAAAAATCCTGGAATTCTCAGACTGAAATTCGCAGGAATTACCCAAAAAAATCCCCACATTCCCAGTCCAAAAGATCTCAAAATCCCGACCCAAAATCCCGGGAATTAAACGAAAAAATTTCTGCGATCCCAGCCCAAAAATCCCAGGAATTACCCAAAAAATTCCTGCGTTCTCAACTCAAAAATCCCCACATTCCTGGCCAAAAAATCCTGGAATTCTCAGCCCAAAATTCCCGGGAATTATGTAAAAAAATTTCAAAAAATCACAGCCCAAAAATCCCGGGAATTACACAAAAAATTCCCACTTTTTCAGCTCAAAAATTCCAAGAATCACCAAAAAAATTCCTGCGTTCCGAGGTCATAAAATCCCCAAATTCCTGGCCAAAAAATCCCTGAATTCTCAGACCAAAATTCGCAGGAATTACCCAAAAAAATCCCCAAATTCTCAGCCCAAAAATTCCAGGCCAAAAATCCCCAAATTCTCAGACTGAAATTTGCAGGAATTACCCGAAAAATCCCCAAATTCTCACCCAAAAATCCTGGGAATTACAAAAAAAATTCCTGCGTTCCCAGATCAAAAAATCCCCAAATTCCTGGCCAAAAAAATTCCTGAATTCTCAGACCAAAATCCCGGGAATTATGCAAAAAAATTTCAAAAAATCCCAGCCCAAAATTCCCGGGAATTACACAAAAAATTTCTTCATTCTCAGCTCAAAAATTCCAAGAATTACCAAAAAAATTCCTGCGTTCCCAGGTCAAATAATCCCCAAATTCCTGGTCAAAAAATCCCTGAATTCTCAGCCTAAAATTCCCGGGAATTAGGCAAATAAATTTAAAAAAAATCACAGCCCAAAAATCCCGGGAATTACACAAAAAATTCCCACTTTCTCAGCTCAAAAATTCCAAGAATTACCCAAAAAAATTCCAAGAATTACCCATAAAAATTCCTGCATTCCCAGGTCAAAAAATCCCCACATTCCTGGCCAAAAATCCTTGAATTCTCAGCCCAAAATTCCCGGGAATTACCCAAAAAAATCCCCAAATTCCCAGGCCAAAAGATCTCAAAATCCCAGCCCCAAAATCCCGGGAATTACACAAAAAAATCCCCACATTCCCAGCCCAAAAATTCCAGGCCAAAAATCCCCAAATTCTCAGGCTGAAATTCGCAGGAATTACCCGAAAAATCCCCAAATTGTCACCCAAAAATCCCGGGAATTACCCAAAAAAATTCCACGTTCTCAGCTCAAAAATTCCAAGAATTACCCAAAAAAATCCCCACATTCCCAACCCAAAAATTCCAGGCCAAAAATCCCCAAATTCTCAGACTGAAATTCGCAGGAATTACCCGAAAAATCCCCAAATTCTCACCCAAAAATCCTGGGAATTAAAAAAAAAAATTCCTGCGTTCCCAGCTCAAAAATCAGGAATTACCAAAAAAATTCCCCAATTTCCCAAGCCAAAAAATCCCCAAATTCCTGGCCAAAAAATCCCGGAATTCTGAGCCCAAAATCCCGGGAATTATGCAAAAAAATGTCAAAAAATCACAGCCCAAAAATCCCGGGAATTACACAAAAAATTCCCACTTTCTCAGCTCAAAAATTCCAAGAATTACCCAAAAAATTCCTGCATTCCCATGTCAAAAAATCCCCAAATTCCTGGCCAAAAAATTCCTGAATTCTCAGCCCAAAATTCCCGGGAATTACCCAAAAAAATCCCCAAATTTGCAGCCCAAAAATTCAAGGCCAAAAATCCCCAAATTCTCACCCAAAAATCCTGGGAATTACCAAAAAAATTCCCATTTTCCCGGTTTAAAAATCAGGAATTACCAAAAAAATTCCCCAATTTCCCAGGCTAAAAATCCCCAAATTCCCACCCAACAATCCCAAATTTCAGCTCAAAATTCCCGGGAATGACACAAAAGATCCCAAAATTCCCATCCCAAAAAAATCCCAAAATTCCCAAAAACGCCGGCGCAAAATTCCCAGGAGCTGCCCAAAAACCAGCCACATTCCAAGTCAAAAAATCCCAAAATTCCAGCCTGAAATTCCCGGGAATTACCCCCAAAAAAATCCCGAAATTCCTGGGGATTACCCAAAAAAATTCCCCAATTTCCCAGCCCAAAAATCCCAAAATTCCCAAAATTCCCAGCCCATTTTATCCCAAATCCATCCCAAAATCTGAGAATTCCTCCCTGGAACGAGGCCCTGGGACAAACTGGGACAAACTGGGACAAACTGGGACAAACTGGGACAGACTGGGACAGACTGGGACCCTTCCAATTCCCAAAATCCTAAATTTTTTCCCAAATTTTTCCCAGATTTTCCCAAATTTATCCCAACTTTATCCTAAATTTCCTCTGGCAGTGACGAAGATCCGGGAGTTGGTGCTGCAGACGGGGCCTGGGACAAACTGGGACAAACTGGGACAGACTGGGACAAACTGGGACAAACTGGGACAAACTGGGACAGACTGGGACAAACTGGGACCCTTCCAATTCCCAAAATACTAAAATTTTCCCAATTTTTTCCCAAATTTTTCCCAAATTTTCCCCAATTTATCCCAAATTTCCTCAGGCGGTGATGAAGATCTGGGATTTCGTGCTGCAGACGGGGCCTGGGACAAACTGGGACAAACTGGGACAAACTGGGACAAACTGGGACCCTTCCAATTCCCAAAATCCCAAATTTTTCCCAATTTTTTCCCAAATTTTCCCCAATTTATCCCAAATTTCCTCAAGCGGTGACAAAGATCCGGGAGTTTGTGCTGCAGACGGGGCCTGGGAGGGACTGGGACAGACTGGGACAAACTGGGACAGACTGGGACCCTTCCAATTCCCAAAATCCCAAATTTTTCCCAAATTTTTCCCAATTTATCCCAAATTTTCTCAGGCGGTGACGAAGATCTGGGATTTCGTGCTGCAGACGGGGCCTGGGAGGGACTGGGACAAACTGGGACAAACTGGGACAGACTGGGACAAACTGGGACCTTTCCAATTCCCAAAATCCCCAATTTTTCCCAGATTTTCCCCAATTTTTCCCAAATTTTCCCGGAATTTCCTCAGGCAGTGACGAAGATCCGGGAGTTCGTGCTGCAGACGGGGCCTGGGAGGGACTGGGACAAACTGGGACAAACTGGGACAAACTGGGACCCTCCCAATTCCCAAAATCCCAAATTTTTCCCAAATTTTTCCCAAATTTTCCCAAATTTATCCCAAATTTATCCCGAATTTCCTCAGGCGGTGACAAAGATCCGGAAGTTTGTGCTGCAGACGGGGCCTGGGACAGACTGGGACAAACTGGGACAAACTGGGACAAACTGGGACAAACTGGGACAAACTGGGAGGAACTGGGAGCCCCTCAATTCCCAAAATCCCAAATTTTCCCCAATTTATCCCAATTTTTCCGGAATTTCCGCAGGCGGTGACGAAGATCCGGGAGTTTGTGCTGCAGAAGATTTTCTCCTTCCGGAAGCCGATGACGAATTATCAGATCCCGCAGAATTCCCTGCTCAAGTTCAAGTCAGGAAATTCCCAAAATTCCCCTCAGAAATCCCAAAATTCCCACCCCAAAATTCCCAGAAATTACCCCAAAAAAATCCCCAAATTCCCACCCAAAAATCCCCAAATTCCCACCCAAAAAAATCCCCAAATTACTCCCAAAAATTCCCAAATTCCCGCCCAAAAATCCCCAAATTCCCACCCAAAATTCCCAGAAATTACCCCAAAAACCCCCAAAATTCCCACCCCAAAAAAATCCCCAAATTTCCCCCCAAAAACCCCCAAATTCCCACTCAAAAATCCCTAAATTCCCACCCAAGTTCCCACCCAAAATTCCCAGGAATTACCCAAAAAAAATCCCCAAATTCCCACCTAAAAATCCCCAAATTCCCACCCAAAAATCCCCAAATTCCCGCCCAAGTTCCCACCCAAAATTCCCAGGAACTACCCAAAAAAAATCCCCAAATTCCCACGCAAAAATCCCCAAATTCCCACCCAAAAATCCCCAAATTACCCCAAAAAAACCCCAAATTCCCACCCAAGAACCCCCAAATTCCCACCCAAAAAAATCCCCAATTTACCCCAAAAAATCCCCAAATTCCCACCCAAAAATCCCCAAATTCCCACCCAAATTCCCACCTAAAATTCCCAGGAATTACCCCAAAAATTCCCAAAATTCCCACCCAAAAATCCTGGGAATTCCCAAAATTCCCCTGTGGATCCTCCTCAGCCCCAAAATCCCGGGAATTCCATCCCAAATCCACCCAAAAATCCCCAAATCTCCCCAAATCTCCCTAAAACCTCGACCTCTAGATCCCAGAATCCCCAAAAATCCCCAAAAATCCCCAAAAATTCCCAAAATTCCCCCTTGGATCTTCCTCAGAGAGCCCCAAATTGTGGAAATTCCATCCCAAATCCACCTAAAACCACCCAAAAACTCCTCAAAACTCCCAAAAACTCCCTAAAACCCCCCAAAACCTCCACCTCCACATCCCAAACTTCCCAAAAATTCCCCAAAATTCCCAAAAATTTCAGAAAATCCCAAAAAATCCCCAAATTCCCCCTTGGATCGTCCTCAGAGAGCCCCAAAATCAGGGAATTCCATCCCAAATCCATCTAAAACCACCTAAAAACTCCTCAAAACTCCTCAAAACTCCCCAAACCTCCTGCTCCACATCCCCAAATTCCAGAAAGTTCCCCAAAATTCCCCAAAATTGCCAAAAATCTCAAAAATTCCCAAAAATTCCTTCTTGGATCTTCCTCAGAGAGCCCCAAATTCGTGGGAATTCCATCCCAAATCCACCCAAAACTCCCTAAAACCCCCCAAATCTCCACCTTCACATCCCAAAATTCCCAAAAATCCCCAAAAATTCCTGAAAATCCCCAAAATTCCCAAAAATCCCCCTTGGATCTTCCTCAGAGAGCCCCAAATCGTGGGAATTCCATCCTAAATCCATCTAAAACCACCCAAAAACTCCTCAAAACTCCCCAAAACGCCCCAAAACTCCCTAAAAACCCCCCAAAACCTCCACCTCCACATCCCAAACTTCCCCAAAATTTCCCAAAATTCCCAAAAATTTCAGAATTCCCAAAAATTCCTGAAAATTCCCCCTTGGATCTTCCTCAGAGAGCCCCAAAACCAGGAAATGCCATCAGAAATCCACCTAAAACCACCCAAAAACTCCCCAAAACTCCCTAAAAACCCCCCAAAACCTCCCCCCTCAGATCCCCAAAATTCCCAAACTTCCCAAAATCCCGGAATTCCGTCATTCCAGGTTTTTCTACCAGTTCCTGCTGGGGCAGGAGCTGCGGGATCACTGCGGCACCAAAAACCTCAGCCCCAAAATTCCCAGAAATTCAGAAAATTCCCTCCCAAAAATGCCCAGAATTCCCAAAAATTCCTGAAATTCCCCAAAATTCCCAAAATTCCCCCTTGGATCTTCCTCAGAGAGCCCCAAAATCAGGGAATTCCATCCCAAATCCACCTAAAACCACCCAAAAAAGCCTCAAAAATCCCCAAAAACTCCCCAAACCTCCTGCCCCACATCCCAAACTTCCCAAAAATTCCCAAAAATTCCTGAAAATCCCCAAATATCCCCAAATTTCCCCAGGAATATTCCTGAGAGAGCCCCAAATTCCTGAGAATTCCATCCCAAATCCACCTAAAACCACCCAAAAACTCCCCAAAACTCCCCAAAAACCCCCCAAAACCTTCACCTCCACATCCCCAAATTCCAGAAAATTCCTAAAAATTCCAGAAAATTCCTAAAAATTCCTAAAAATTCCCCAAATTCCCCCTTGGATCTTCCACAGAGAGCCCCAAATCTTGGGAATTCCATCCCAAAACCACCAAAAAACACCCCAAAACTCCTCAAAAATCCCCAAAACTTCCAAAACCTCCTTCTCCACATCCCAAAATTCCAGAAAATTCCCCAAAATTCCAGAAAATTCCCCAAAATTCTCAAAAATTCCCAAAAATTCTCCAAAATCCCCAAATTTTCGCCATGAATATTCCTCAGAGAGCCCCAAAATCCTGAGAATTCCATCCCAAAACCACCCAAAAACACCTAAAAACTCCCCAAAACTCCCTAAAAACCCCCCAAACCTCCTGCTCCACATCCCCAAATTCCAGAAAATTCCTAAAAATTCTCAAAAATCCCCAAAAATTCCTGAAAAATTCCGGAATTCCGTCATTCCAGGTTTTTCTCCCAGTTCCTGCTGGGGCAGGAGCTGCGGGATCACTACGGCACCAAAAACCTCAGCCCCAAAATTCCCAGAAATTCAGAAAATTCCCTTCCAAAAATGCCCAGAATTCCCCCAAATTCCCAAAAATTTCAGAAAATCCCCAAAATTCCCAAAAATTCCCCTTGGATCTTCCTCAGAGAAGCCCAAAATCAGGAAATGCCATCCCAAATCCACCTAAAACCACCCAAAAACTCCCCAAAACTCCCCAAAACTCCCCAAACCTCCTGCTCCACATCTCCAAATTCCAGAAAATTCCACAAAATTCCAGAAAATTCCCCAAAATTCTCAAAAATTCCCAAAAATTCTCCAAAATCCCCAAATTTCCCCCATGAATATTCCTCAGAGAATCCCAAAACCAGGGAATTCCATCCCAAATCCACCTAAACCCACTCAAAAACTCCCAAAAACTCCCTAAAAACCCCCCAAATCCTCCACTCTCAGATCCCAAACTTCCCAAAAATTCCCAAAATTCCCAAAAATTTCAGAATTCCCAAAAATTCCTGAAAATTCCCCCTTGGATCTTCCTCAGAGAAGCCCAAATCTTGGGAATTCCATCCCAAAACTACCGAAAACCACCCAAAACCTCCTCAAAAATCCCCAAAACTCCCAAAACCTCCTGCTCCACATCCCCAAATTCCAGAAAATTCCAGAAAATTCCCCAAAATTCCCAAAATTCTGGAAATTCCCACATTCCAGGTTTTTCTCCCAGTTCCTGCTGGGGCAGGAGCTGCGGGATCACTACGGCGCCAAAAACCTCAGCCCCAAAATTCCCAGAAATTCAGAAAATTCCCTCCCAAAAATGCCCAAAATTCCCCAAAATTCCCCGAAAATCCCCAAAAATCCCCCTTGGATCTTCCTGAGAGAGGCCCAAAGTCAGGGAATTCCATCCCAAATCCACCTAAAACCACCCAAAAACTCCTCAAAACTCCCTAAAAACCCCCCAAAACCTTCACCTCCAGATCCCCAAACTTCCCAAAAATTCCCCAAAATTCCCAAAAATTCCTGAAAATCCCCAAAATTCCCAAAAATCCCCCTTGGATCTTCCTCAGACAGTCCCAAAATCAGGGAATTCCATCCCAAATCCGCCTAAAACCACCCAAAACCTCCTCAAAACTCCCCAAAACTCCCTAAAAACCCCCCAAAACCTCCACCTCCACATCCCAAACTTCCCAAAAATTCCCCAAAATTCCTGAAAATCCCAAAAATTCCCAAAATCCCCCTTTGATCTTCCTCAGAGAAGCCCAAAATCAGGAAATGCCATCCCAAATCCACCTAAACCCACCCAAAAACTCCCCCAAACTCCCTAAAAACCCCCCAAAACCTCCCAAAACCTTCAACTCCACATCCCAAACTTCCCAAAATTCCCCAAAAATTCCTGAAAAATTCCCGGAATTCCGTCATTGCAGGTTTTTCTACCAGTTCCTGCTGGGGCAGGAGCGGGCGGCGGCGCAGGAGCTGCGGGATCACTACGTTGGCACCGTCGGCCGCGTCCACTTCTCCTATTTCCGCTCCTACAGCGCGCGCCTCATGAAGGTCCAGGTCAGCATTCCCGAATTTCCACCTTTTCCCGGCTTTTCCCAACTTTTCCCAAAGTTTTCCCAACTTTTCACAAAGTTTTCCCAACATTTCCCCAAATTTCCCTCAATTTTCACACCATTTTCCCTTTTTTTCCCTGAATTTTCCCTGAGTTTTCCCAATATTTTCCCAATATTTTCCCTTTTTTCCCCTCAAATTTCCCAAATTTCCCAACTTTTCCAGCCTTTTCCCAATTTTCCCAAAGTTTTCCCAAATTTCCCTGAATTTTCCCAAATTTCCCTGAATTTTCCCAAATTTCCCTGAATTTTACCCGCATTTTCCCTTTTTTTTGTCAAATTTCCCAGATTTCCCAACTTTTCCAGCCTTTTCCCAAAGTTTTCCCAAATTTCAAGGAATTTTCCCAAATTTCCCTGAATTTTTCTTCGATTATCCCAATATTTTCCTTTTTTCCTCACATTTCCCCCAATTTTCCCTCAATTTTCCCAAATTTCCCTGAATTTTCCCCCCATTTCCCCTTTTTTTCTCAAATTTCCCAAATTTCCCAACTTTTGCAGCCTTTTCCCAAAGTTTTCCCAAATTTCAAGGAATTTTCCCAAATTTCCCAGAATTTTCCCACCATTTTCCCTTTTTCCCCTGAATTTTCCCTCAATTTCACCAAATTTTTCTGAATTTCCCCCTCATTTTCCCTTTTTTTCTCAAATTTCCCAACTTTTCCAGCCTTTTCCCAATTTTCCCAAAGTTTTCCCAAAGTTTTCCCAAATTTCCTGGAATTTTCCCACATTTCCCTGATTTTTCCCACCATTTTACTTCTTTTCCTTGTATTTTCCCTCAATTTTTACAATATTTTCCCAATATTTTCCTTTTTTCCTCACATTTCCCCCAATTTTCCCTCAATTTTCCCAAATTTCCCAGAATTTTCCTCCAATTTTCCCTTTTTTTCCCTCAAATTTCCCAACTTTTCCAGCCTTTCCCATATTTTCCCAATGTTTTCCCAAATTTCCCTGAATTTTCCCACCTTTTTCCTAATATTTCCCATATTTCCCAACTTTTCCAGCCTTTTCCCAGTTTTCCCAAAGTTTTCCCAAATTTCTCTGAATTTTCCCACCATTTTCCCTTTTTTCCCCTGAATTTTCCCGGAATTTTCCCAATATTTTCCCTTTTTTCCCCACATTTTCCTCACATTTCCCCCAATTTTCCCTCAATTTTCCCAAATTTTCCCAAATTTCCCTCAATTTTCAGACCTTTTTCCCTTTTTTCCCTGATTTTCCTCGATTTTCCCAATATTTTCTCACCATTTTCCCTTTTTTCCCCTCAAATTTCCCAACTTTTCCAGCATTTTCCCAATTTTCCCAAAGTTTTCCCAAATTTCCCTGAATTTTACCCGCATTTTCCCTTTTTTTCTCAAATTTCCCAACTTTTCCCGGCTTTTCCCAACTTTTCACAAAGTTTTCCCGGCTTTGCACAAAGTTTTCCCAACATTTTCCCAAATTTCCCTGAATTTTCACACCATTTTCCCTTTTTTTTCCCTGAATTTTCCCGGAATTTTCCCAATATTTTCCCAACATTTTCCCTTTTTTTCCCTGAATTTTCTCTGAATTTTCCCAATATTTTCCCAATATTTTCCCTTTTTTCCCCTCAAATTTCCCAAATTTCCCAACTTTTCCAGCCTTTTCCCAATTTTCCCAAAGTTTTCCCAAATTTCCCTGAATTTTCTCTGAATTTTCCCAATATTTTCCTTTTTTCCTCAATTTTCCCACCATTTTCCCTTTTTTCCCCCTGACTTTTTCCTCCGTTTTCCCAAAGTTTCCCAAATTTCCCTGAATTTTACCCGCATTTTCCCTTTTTTTTCTCAAATTTCCCAAATTTCTCAACTTTTCCAGCCTTTTCCCAAAGTTTTCCCAAATTTCAAGGAATTTTCCCAAATTTCCCTGAATTTTTCCTCGATTTTCCCAATATTTTCCTTTTTTCCTCACATTTCCCCCAATTTTCCCTCAATTTTCCCAAATTTCCCTGAATTTTCCCCCATTTTCCCTTTTTTCCTCAAATTTCCCAAATTTCCCAACTTTTCCAGCCTTTTCCCAATTTTCCCAAAGTTTTCCCAAATTTTCCCAAAGTTTTTGCTAATTTCCCTGAATTTTCCCCCATTTTCCCTTTTTTCCCTCAAATTTCCCAAATTTCCCAACTTTTCCAGCCTTTTCCCAGTTTTCCCAAAGTTTTCCCAAATTTCTCTGAATTTTCCCACCATTTTCCCTTTTTTCCCTGAATTTTTTCTCGATTTTCCCAATATTTTCCCTTTTTCCCCCACATTTTCCTCACATTTCCCCCAATTTTCCCTCAATTTTCCCAAATTTTCCCAAATTTCCCTCAATTTTCACACCATTTTCCTTTTTTTTCCCTGAATTTTCCCTGAATTTTCCCAATATTTTCCCACCATTTTCCCTTTTTTCCCCTCAATTTTCCCAAATTTCCCAACTTTTCCAGCCTTTTCCCAATTTTCCCAAAGTTTTCCCAAATTTCCCTGAATTTTCCCAAATTTCCCTGAATTTTACCCGCATTTTCCCTTTTTTTTCTCAAATTTCCCAGATTTCACAATTTTTCCAGCCTTTTCCCAAAGTTTTCCCAAATTTCCCTGAATTTTTCCTCGATTTTCCCTTTTTCCTCACATTTCCATCAATTTTCCCTCAAATTTCCCAAATTTCCCTGATTTTTCCCCCATTTTCCCTTTTTTTTCTCAAATTTCCCAACTTTTGCAGACTTTTCCCAATTTTCCCAAAGTTTTCCCAAATTTCTCTGAATTTTCCCAACATTTCCCTGATTTTCCCCTCAATTTTCCCCAATATTTTCTCTTTTTTCCTCACATTTCCATGAATTTTCCCAAATTTCCCTGAATTTCCCCTGAATTTTCCCACCATTTTCCCACCATTTTCCCTTTTTTCCTCACATTTTCCTCCATTTTCCCTGATTTTCCCCTTTTCCCCCCTCAAATTTTCCCAATTTTCCTTGAATTTTCCCAAATTTCCCTTTTCCCCCCAATTTCCCTGAATTTTTCCTGATTTCCCCAAAATTTTCCCTCAAATTTCCACAATTTCCCTGAATTTTTCAAAATTTCCCCCAATTTTCTCAAAAATTTCCCTCAAATTTCCCCAACTTTTCCCCATTTCCCTGAATTTCACCCTATTTTCCCCAAAATTTCCCCAATTTTCCCAAATTTTTCTCCAATTTCCCCAATTTTCCCTAATTTTCCCTCAAATTTCCCAAAATTTTCCCAACATTTCTCCCAAATTTCCCCAAATTTTCCCCAAATTTTCCCAACTTCTTCCAATTGCCCTTGAATTTTCCCAATTTTCTCTTTTTCCCCAATTTCCCTGAATTTTTTCCTGATTTCCCCTAAATTTCCCACTATTTTCCAAAAAATTTCCCTCAAATTTCCCCAATTCCCTGAATTTTCTCCGATTTCCCCCAAATTTTACCAAAATTTTTCCTTAGATTTCCTCAATTTCCCCAAATTTTCCCTCCAATTTCCCCTAAATTTTCCCTCAAAATTTCCACAATTTCCCTGAATTTTCCCCGATTCCCCCAAAATTTCCCCAATTTTCCCAAAAGTTTTCCTCAAATTTCCCTGAATTTCCCAAATTTCCCCAAATTTTCCCAAAATTTCCCTCAAATTTCCCCAATTTTCCCTGAAATTTTCCCTCCAAATTTCCCCAGTTTTCCCAAATTTTCTCCGATTCCCCCAAAATTTCCCCAATTTCCCCAAAAATTTCCCTCAAATTTCCCCAAATTTTCCCAAATTTTCCCCTGAATTTTCCATCCAAATTTCCCTCCTAAAGGTCCCAAATTCCCAAAATTTCCCCAAAATTTTCTGGAATTTTTGGGAATTCTTGGGAATTTGGGGACTTTTGGGAATTTTGGTGAATTTTGGGGAATAATTGTGGAATTTTGGGCATTCCGCAGTACGAGGAGGTGGCGGAGAAGGATGACCTGATGGGCGTCGAGGACACGGCCCGCAAGGATATCCCGGAGCGGGAATGCCGGAATTCCGGAATTTTGGGCAATTTTGGGAATTTTGGGGAATATTCGGGACTCATTTGAGATTTTTTAATGGGATTTTTTTTTGTTTTTGGGGAATTTTAGGCAAATTTTGGGAATTTTTTTTGAATTTTTTGGGAATTTGGGGGAATTTTTTTTGAGTTTTTGGAAATTTGGGGGAATTTTTTGGGAATTTTTGGGATTTCCTTGGGATTTTTTTAGGGAATTTTGGGGAATTTGTGAAAATTTTTGGGTTTTTTTGAGGATTTTGGGGATTTTTGGAGGGGTTTTGAATTTTGGGGAACTTTTGGGATTTTGGGAATTTTTGGGATTTTCTGGGAATATTTGGGATTGATTTGAGATTTTTTAACGGGATTTTTGGGGTTTTGGGGGGATTTTTTTTCTGGCATTTCTTCTGGGATTTTTAGAGTTTGGGGAATTTGGGGAATTTTTGGGGAATTTTTGGGGAATATTTGGGATTGATTTGAGATTTCTTAATGGGATTTTTTGAGAATTTTTGGGGAATTTTTTGGGACTTTTTGGGAATTTTTTGAGGATTTTGGGGATTTTTGGAGGGGTTTTGACTTTTGGGGAATTTTTGGGATTTTCTAGGAATATTGGGGATTGATTTGAGATTTTTTAATGGGATTTTTGGGGTTTTTTTAGGATTTTTGGGGTTTTTTGGGGCTATTTTTGGGATTTTTGGGGGATATTTTTGGGATATTTTGAGAGATTTTGAGAGTTTTTTGGGGATTATTTTGGGGGATTTTGATGGGATTTTGGGATATTTGGGGGGATTTTTATGGGACTTTTTTAAGGGTATTTTTGGGATATTTTAGGAATTTTTTAGGGATATTTTGGGGTGAATTCCTTGACTTTTTGGCCACAGTTCTGCCCCAGGATTGGGGATTTTTGGGGGGATTTTTGGGGATTTTTTGGGATGATTTTTGGGGTGATTTTGGTGGATTTTTGGGATGATTTTTGGGATGTTTGGTTTGGACTTTTGGGGTGATTTTGGGGGATTTTTGGGATGATTTTTGGGATGTTTGGTTTGGACTTTTGGGGTGATTTTGGGGGATTTTTGGGATGATTTTTGGGATGTTTGGTTTGGATTTTCGGGGGGATTTTTGGGATGATTTTTGGGGTGATTGTGGTGGATTTTTGGGATGATTTTTGGAATGTTTGGTTTGGACTTTTGGGGTGATTTTGGGGGATTTTTGGGAGGATTTTTGGCATGATTTTTGTGGGGATTTTTTGGGATGATTTTTGGGGTGATTTTGGGGGATTTTTGGGATGATTTTTGGGATGATTTCTGGGGATTTTTCGGATGATTTTTGGGGTGATTTTGGGGTGATTTTTGGGGATTTATGGGATGATTTTTGGGATGATTTTGGTGGATTTTTCAGATGACTTTTGGGATGATTTTGGTGGTTTTTTAGGATGATTTTTGGGGATTTTTATGAGATTTTTTTTGGATTTTGAGGGATTTTGGGGGGATTTTTGGGGAATTTTTATGGGATTTTTTGGGGATGTATTTTAGGGATATTTTGTGGATATTTTGGAGTGAATTCCTTGACTTTGGGGCACGGTTCTTCTCGAAGCTGTCGCTGCGCAGCCGCAACACGGGGCTGCCCCGGGATTGGGGATTTTTGGGATGATTTTTGGGGTGATTTTGGGGGTGATTTGGGGGGTGATTTGGGGGGTGATTTTGGTGGATTTTTGGGATGATTTTTGGGGTGATTTTGGGGGATTTCTGGGGCAATTTTGGTGGATTTTTCAGATGATTTTTGGGATGATTTTGGTCTTTTTTTAGGATGATTTTTGGGGATTTTTATGGGATTTTTTGGGGATTTTGGGGGGGATTTTTGGGTTGATTTCTGGGGATTTTTGGGATGATTTTGGGGGATTTTTGGGATGATTTTTGGTGTATTTTTGGGGTGATTTTTGGGATGATTTTGGGATGATTTTTGGGATGATTGGTTTGGACTTTTGGGGGGATTTTGGGGATGGTTTTTGGGATGATTTTTGGGATTTTTGGGATGATTTTTGGGGTGATTTTGGTGGATTTTTGGGATGATTTTGGTGGATTTATGGAATGATTTTCGGTATAATTTTTTGGGATTTTTTGGGATGATTTCTGGGGATTTTTGGGGTGATGTTTTGGGATTTTTGAGATGATTTTTGGGTTGATTTTTGGGGTGATTTCTGGGATGATTTCTGGGATGATATTTGGGGATTTTTGGGACAATTTTTGGGGATTTTTGGGATAATTTTTGTGACTTTTCTGGGGTATTTTTGGGGTTTTTTTACGGGATTTTTTGGGGTTTTTAATGGGATTTTTCGGGGGATTTTTGGGGGATTTTTATGGGATATTTTGGGGATGCATTTGGGAATATTTTGGAATATTTTGGGGTGAATTCCTTGACTTTTGGGCACGGTTCTTCTCGAAGCCGTCGCTGCGCAGCCGCAACACGGGGCTGCCCCGGGAGTGGGGAATTTTGGGGATTTTTGGGGATTTTGGGGGATTTTTTGGGATTTTTTGGGATGATTTTTGGGGATTTTTTGGGATGATTTTGGTCGATTTTTGGGATGATTTTGGTGGATTTTTGGGATGTTTGGTTTGGACTTTTGGGGTGATTTTGGGGGATTTTTGGGGATTTTTGGGATGATTTTTCGGATGATTTTTGGGGTGATTTTGGTGGATTTTTGGGATGACTTTTGGGATGATTTCTGGGGATTTTTGGGATGACTTTTGGGATGATTTCTGGGGATTTTTCGGATGATTTTTGGGGTGATTTTGGGGGATATTTGGGACAATTATGGTGGATTTTTCAGATGATTTTTGGGTTGATTTTGTTGTTTTTTTAGGATGATTTTTGGGATGATTTTTGTGGGGATTTTATGGAATGATTTTGGCCGATTTTTGGGATGATTTTTGGGGTGATTTTGGGGGATTTTTTGGGACGATTTTGGTGGATTTTTAGATGATTTTTGGGATGATTTTGGTGTTTTTTTAGGATGTTTTTTGGGTTTTTTAATGAGATTTTTGGGGGATTTTGAGGGATTTTGGGGGGATTTTTATGGGACTTTTTTAAGGGTATTTTTGGGATATTTAGGAATATTTTAGGATATTTTGGGGTGAATTCCTTGACTTTGGGCACGGTTCTTCTCGCAGCCGTCGCTGCGCAGCCGCAACACGGGGCTGCCCCGGGATTGGGGATTTTTGGGGGGATTTTTGGGGATTTTTTGGGATGATTTTTGGGATGATTTTTGGGATGATTTTTGGGATGATTGGTTTGGACTTTTGGGATGATTTTTGGGATGATTTCTGGGATGATTTTTGGGGATTTCTGGGATGATTTTTGGGATGATTTCTGGGATGATTTTTGGGGATTTTTGGGATGATTTTTGGGGTGATTTTGGTGGATTTTTGAGATGATTTTTGGGATGATTTTGGGGTATTTTTGGGACGATTTTGGTGGATTTTTGAGATGATTTTTGGGATGATTTTGGTGGCTTTTCTGGGGTATTTTTGGGGTTTTTTATGGGATTTTTCAGGGGATTTTTGGGTTTTTTTATGGGATTTTGAGGGATTTTTGGGGGGATTTTGGGGGGGAATTTTTCTGGGATTTTTTTAGGATATTTTGGGGTGAATTCCTTGACTTTGGGGCACGGTTCTTCTCGAAGCCGTCGCTGCGCAGCCGCAACACGGGACTGCCCTGGGACTGGGGATTTTTGGGGTGATTTTGGCCGATTTTGGGAATGATTTTTGGGATGATTTTTGGGGGATTTTTGAGATTATTTTTAGGTTGATTTTTGGGGATTTCTGGGATGATTTTTGGGGATTTTTGGGGGATTTTTTGGGATGTATTTGGGAATATTTTGGGATATTTTGGGGATATTTGGGGTGATTTTTGGGGATTTTTGGGATGATTTTTGGGGATTTATGGGATGATTTTTGGGGTGATTTTGGTGGGATTTTGGGATTATTTTTGGGATGATTTTTGTGGGGATATTTTTGGGATTTTTTTTGGGATATTTTGGGGATATTTTGGGGCTATTTTTGGGGATATTTTTGGGATATTTTGAGAGATTGTGGGGGATTTTTTGGGATTATTTTAGGGGATTTTGATGGGATTTTGGGATATTTGGGGGGATTTTTATGGGATTTTTTGGGGATGTATTTGGGATATTTTAGGGATTTTTGGGGGCTATTTTTGGGGCAATTTTGGGGTGAATTCCTTGACTTTGGGCACGGTTCTTCTCGAAGCCGTCGCTGCGCAGCCGCAACACGGGACTGCCCCGGGATTGGGGATTTTTGGGGGGATTTTGGCCGATTTTTGGGATGATTTTTGGAATGATTTTTGGGGGATTCTTGGGATGAGTTTTGGGATGATTTTTGGGACAATTTTTGGGGATTTTGGGGATGATTTTTGTGGCTTTTCTGGGGTATTTTTTGGGTTTTTTGATGGGATTTTTTAGGGTTTTTGGGGGTTTTAATGGGATTTTTGGGGCATTTTTATGGGATTTTTTGGGGATGTATTTGGAGATATTTGGGAATATTTTAGGGATATTTTGGAGCTATTTTGGGGTGAATTCCTTGACTTTTGGGCACGGTTCTTCTCGAAGCCGTCGCTGCGCAGCCGCAACACGGGGCTGCCCCGGGATTGGGGATTTTTGGGGATTTTTGGGGTGATTTTTGGGGATTTTTTGGGATGATTTTGGTCGATTTTTGGGATGATTTTTGGGATGAATTTTGGGATGATTGGTTTGGACTTTTGGGGGGATTTTTGGGGTGATTTTGGTGGATTTTTGGGATGATATTTGGGATGATTTTTGGGATGATTGGTTTGGACTTTTGGGATGATTTTTGGGATGATTTCTGGGATGATTTTTGGGGATTTCTGGGATGATTTTTGGGGTGATTTTGGGGGATTTTTGGGATGACTTTTGGGATAATTTTGGGGGATTTTTTGGGATGATTTCTGGGGATTTTTGGGGTGATTGTGGTGGATTTTTCAGATGATTTTTGGGATGATTTCTGGGGATTTTTCGGATGATTTTTGGGGTGATTTTGGGGCATTTTTGGGATGATTTTGGTGGAATTTTCAGATGATTTTTGGGATGATTTTGGTGGTTTTTTAGGATGATTTTTGGGGTTTCTTATGAGATTTTTTGGGGATTTTGAGGGATTTTTGGGGGGGATTTTTGGGGGGAATTTTTCTGGGATTTTTTTAGGATATTTTGGGGTGAATTCCTTGACTTTGGGGCACGGTTCTTCTCGCAGCCGTCGCTGCGCAGCCGCAACACGGGGCTGCCCCGGGATTGGGGATTTTTGGGGGGATTTTTGGGATGATTTTTGTGGACTTTTGGGATGATTTTTGGGACTTTTTGGGGGATTTTTGGGACAATTTTTGGGGATTTTTGGGATGATTTTTGGGGATTTTAGGGATGATTTTTGGAATAATTTTTCTGACTTTTCTGGGGTACTTTTGTGTTTCTAAATGGGATTTTTTTGGGGTTTTTGGGGTTTTTAATGGGATTTTTGCGGGATTTTTTGGGGATGATTTTTTGGGATATTTTGGCATATTTGGGCAATTTTGGGGTGTATTCCTTGACTTTTGGGCACGGTTCTTCTCGAAGCCGTCGCTGCGCAGCCGCAACACGGTTTTCACGCTGGGGAACCGCGGCGCCATCATCGGCCCCGCGGAGCTCGAGGCGCCGATCATCGTCCCCCACGCCGCCGCCAAGGGCGAGCAGAGGGTGAATGGGGCAACTGGGAGGAACTGGGGGGAACTGGGACGGACTGGGACGGACTGGGAGGGACTGGGAGGGACTGGGAGGGACTGGGAGGGACTGGGAGGGACTGGGAGCAAAAAACGGGGAAAAAATCGGGAAAGAAATGGGAAAAATCGGGGAAAAAATGGGGGAAAATCTGATTTTTTGGAGGGAAATTGATGGGAAATGGGGATTGGGGTAAGCTGGGATGGACTGGGATGAACTGGGACAAACTGGGATGAACTGGGAGGGACTGGGACAAACTGGGAGCAAAAAACGGGGAAAAAATTGGAAAAAGAATGGGGGGAAAGGGGAAAAAATGGGGGAAAATTGGATATTTTGGAGGGAAATTGATGGGAAATGGGGATTGGGGATACTGGGAGGGACTGGGACGGACTGGGATAAACTGGGAGGGACTGGGACAGACTGGGACAAACTGAGAGGGACTGGGATGGACTGGGACGGACTGGGAGGGACTGGGGGGAACTGGGAGGGACTGGGAGCAAAAAACGGGGAAAAAATCAGGAAAAAAATGGGAAAATTCGGGGAAAAAATGGGGAAAATTGTGAAAAAATGGGGGAAAATCGGATTTTTTGGAGGGAAATTGGTGGGAAATGGGGATTGGGGGATACTGGGAGGGACTGGGAGGGACTGGGAGGGACTGGGACAAACTGGGAGGGACTGGGGAGAAAAAAATGGGGCAAATTGGAAAATAAATGGGAAAAAATGGGAAAAAATGGGGAAAAATCTGATTTTTTGGGGGGGAAATTGATGAGAAATGGGGATTGGGGATACTGGGAGGGACTGGGAGGGACTGGGATGGACTGGGACGGACTGGGAGCAAAAAACGGGGAAAAATCGGGAAAAAATTGGAAAAATTGGGGAGAAAATGGGGGAAAATCAGATTTTTTGGGGGGAAATTGATGGGAAATGGGGATTGGGGATACTGGGATGGACTGGGATGAACTGGGACGGACTGGGGGGGACTGGGGGGGGCTGGGGGGGACTGGGGGGAACTGGGAGCAAAAAACGGGGAAAAAATCGGAAAAAAATGGGGAAAATTGGGAAAAAAATGCGGAAAAAATGGGGAAAAAATCGGATTTTTTTGAGGGAAATTGATGGGAAATGGGGATTGGGGGATACTGGGACGGACTGGGATGAACTGGGAGGGACTGGGAGTAAAAAACAGGAAAAATCGGGAAAAAACGGGAAAAATCAGGGAAAAAATGGGGGAAAATTGGATTTTTTGGGGGGAAATTGATGGTAAATGTGGACTGGGGCAAACTGGGACAAACTGGGACAGACTGGGGGGGACTGTGGGGAACTGGGATAAACTGGGAGCAAAAAACGGGGAAAAAATCGGGAAAAAAATGGGAAAAATCGGGGAAAAAATGCAGAAAAAATGGGGGAAAATCGATTTTTTTGGAGGGAAATTGATGGGAAATGGGGATTGGGGCAAACTGGGAGGGACTGGGAGGGACTGGGACAAACTGGGACGGACTGGGAGGGACTGGGAGCAAAAAACAGGGAAAAAATGGGAAAAATCGGGAAAAAATGGGGGAAAATCGAAAATTTTGGGGGGAAATTGATGGGAAATGGGGATTGGGGCAAACTGGGCCAAACTGGGATGGACTGGGAGGGACTGGGATGGACTGGGGGGAACTGGGGGGAACTGGGACGGACTGGGAGCAAAAAACGGGGAAAAAAATCGGGAAAAAATGGGAAAAATTGGGAAAAAATGGGTGAAAATCAGATTTTTTGGGGGAAATTGATGGGAAATGTGGATTGGGAATACTGGAGGGAACTGGGACAAACTGGGATAAACTGGGACAGACTGGGAGGGACTGGGAGGGACTGGGAGCAAAAAACGGGGAAAAAATCAGGAAAAAAATGGGAAAAATTGGGAAAAAATGGGGGGAAATCGGATTTTTTGGGGAGAAATTGATGGGAAATTGGGATTGGGGATACTGGGAGGGACTGGGACAAACTGGGACAAACTGGGATGGACTGGGAGGGACTGGGATAAACTGGGAGGGACTGGGAGCAAAAAACGGGGAAAAAATCGGGGAAAAAATGGGAAAAATCGGGGAAAAAACAGGGGAAAATTGTGAAAAAATGGGGGAAAATTGGATTTTTGGGGGAAATTGATGGGAAATGGCGATTGGGAATACTGGGAGGGACTGGGATAAACTGGGAGAGACTGGGACAAACTGGGAGCAAAAAACAGGGAAAAAATCGGGGAAAAAATGGCAAAAATCGGGGAAAAAATAGGGGAAAATTGTGAAAAAATGGGGGGAAATTGGATTTTTGGGGGGAAATTGATGGGAAATGGGGATTGGGGATACTGGGATGGACTGGGACAAACTGGGACGGACTGGGAGGGACTGGGAGCAAAAATGGGGAAAAAATTGGAAAAAAATGGGAAAAATCGGGGAAAAAATGGGAAAATTGGGAAAAAATGGGGGAAAATTGGATTTTTTGGAGGGAAATTGATGGGAAATGGGGATTGGGGATACTGGGAGGGACTGGGAGGGACTGGGACAAACTGGGGGGGACTGGGGGGAACTGGGACGGAGTGGGAGCAAAAAACGGGGAAAAAATCGGAAAAAAAATGGGAAAATTGGGAAAAAAATGGGGAAAATTGGGAAAAAATGGGGAAAATTGGGAAAAAATGGAGAAAAATCGGATTTTTTGGGGGGAAATTGATGGGAAATGGGGACTGGGACAGACTGGGAGGGACTGGGAGGGACTGGGAGGGACTGGGATAAACTGGGAGCAAAAAACGGGGAAAAAATCGTGAAAAAAATGAAAAAAATTGGGAAAAAATGGAGGAAAATCGGATTTTTTGGGGGGAAATTGATGGGAAATGGGGATTGGGGATACTGGGAGGGACTGGGAGGGACTGGGATGGACTGGGAGGGAGTGGGATGAACTGGGAGGGAAAAAAACAAAAAGAAATGGGAAAAATGGGGAAAAATCTGATTTTTGGGGGTGAAAATAGCAAAGAAATTGTGAGAAATGGGGACTGGGGGATACTGGGACAAACTGGGATAAACTGGGAGGGACTGGGAGCAAAAAACGGGGGAAAAATCGGAAAAAAAATGGGAAAAATTGGGAAAAAAATGGGGGAAAATTGGATTTTTTGGAGGGAAATTGATGGGAAATGGGGATTGGGGCAAACTGGGCCAAACTGGGATGGACTGGGACGGACTGGGAGGGACTGGGAGGGACTGGGGGGGACTGGGGGGAACTGGGAGGGACTGGGAGCAAAAAACGGGGAAAAAATCGGGGAAAAAATGGGAAAAATCGGGGAAAAAATGGGGAAAATTGTGAAAAAATGGGGAAAAATTGGATTTTTTGGGGGGGAAATTGATGGGAAATGGGGATTGGGGCAAACTGGGCCAAACTGGGACGGACTGGGAGGGACTGGGATGGACTGGGACGGACTGGGAGGGACTGGGAGGGACTGGGAGGGACTGGGAGGGACTGGGAGGGACTGGGAGCAAAAAATGGGGAAAAAATCGGGAAAAAAATGGGAAAAATCGGGGAAAAAATGGGGAAAATTGTGAAAAAATGGGGGAAAATCGGATATTTTGAGGGGATATTGATGGGAAATGGGGATTGGGGATACTGGGAGGAACTGGGATAAACTGGGAGGGACTGGGAGGGACTGGGACAAACTGGGATAAACTGGGAGGGACTGGAAAGAAAAAAATGGGGAAAATTGGAAAAGAAACGGAAAAAAAATGGGGAAAAAATGGGGGAAAATCGAATTTTTTTCGGCAACATTGATGGGAAATGTGGATTGGGAATACTGGAGGGAACTGGGACAAACTGGGATAAACTGGGACAAACTGGGAGGGAGTGGGAGCAAAAAACGGGGAAAAAATTGGGAAAAAAAATGGGGGAAAGGGGGAAAAATGGGGGGAAATAATGGGAAATGGGGATTGGGACAAACTGGGACAGACTGGGATAAACTGGGACAAACTGGGATGGACTGGGAGGGACTGGGAGCAAAAAACGGGGAAAAAATTGGAAAAAAAATGGGAAAAATTGGGAAAAAAATGCGGAAAAAATGGGGGAAAATCGGATTTTTTGGGGGGAAATTGATGGGAAATGGGGATTGGGGCAAACTGGGCCAAACTGGGACGGACTGGGAGGGACTGGGATAAACTGGGAGCAAAAAACGGGGAAAAAATTGGGAAAAAAATGGGAAAAATTGGGAAAAAAATGAGGAAAATTGGATTTTTTGGGGGGAAATTGATTGGAAATGGGGATTGGGGGATACTGGGAGGGACTGGGAGGGACTGGGATAAACTGGGATGAACTGGGAGGGACTGGGAGGGACTGGGAGGGACTGGGATAAACTGTAAAAATTGTAAAAAAATCTGAAAAAAACCCCAAAAAAATCCCAAAAAAAGGCGTAAAAGCGCCAAAATTGGCCCGATTTTCCGGCGTTTTTTTTTTGGAAAATTCGGGAATTTTTTCCCCATTTTCCCGATCCGATCCCGGTGTTTTTCCCGTTCCCAGTTCCCGTTGGAGTCGCTGTTCCGCTCGCAGCACTTTGCGCTGCTGGGAAAGCTCCAAAATGGGGAAAAATGGGAAAAATCCCAGAAAAAAATGGGGAAAATCCCAGAAAAAAAAGGGGAAATATTTTCCAGATTTTTTCCAGGAAAAATGTGAAAAAACATCTGAAAAGTGACCGAAAAATGGAAAAAAAGAAACAGGAAAAAAGGCATAAAACCCCCCAAATTTGCTGGATTTTCCTGCTTTTTTTTTGCAAAATTCCCAGATTTTTTTCCGAATTTTTCCTTCTCTTTTCCAGATTTTTTCCAAGAAAAACATGGGAAAAATTGAGAAAAAAATGGGGAAAAATAGGGAAAAAATAGGAAAAAAGGCACCAAATCCCCAAAAATTGCTGGATTTTCCCGCTTTTTTTATGCAAAATTCCCGACGTTTTTCCTACTTTTACCTTCCCATTTCCAGATGTTTTCCAAGAAAAACGTGGAAAAAACTGAGAAAAAAATTGCAAAAAATTGCAAAAAAATCGTGAAAAAATCCGGAAAAAAAACCAAAAAAAGTCATAAAACCGCCAAACTTGTCCCGATTTTCCCGCGGTTTTTTTTGGAAAATTCGGGAATTTTTTCCCCATTTTTCCCGATCCGATCCGGGTTATTTTCCCGTTCCCAGTTCCCGTTGGAGTCGCTGTTCCGCTCGCAGCACTTCGCGCTGCAGGAAAAGCTCCAAAATGGGGAAAAATGGGGAAAATCCCAGAAAAAAATGGGAAAAAATCCCAGAAAAAAATGGGGAAAAATCCCAGAAAAAATGGGAAACATCCCAGGAAAAATGGGGAATTATTTTCCAGATATTTCCAGGAAAAATGGGAAAAAACATCTAAAAAGTGACCAAGAAACTGGGGGAAAATGGGAAAAAAAAAAACAGGAAAAAAGGCAGAAAATCCCCCAAAAATTGCTGGACTTTCCTGTGGTTTTTTTGTAAAATTCCCGAATTTTTTTCCCAATTTTTCCTTCTCTTTTCCAGATTTTTTTTCCAAGAAAAACATGGAAAAAATTGAGAAAAAAATGTTGAAAAATGGAGGAAAAAGTGGGAAAAAAGGCAGAAAATCCCAAAAAATTGCCGGATTTTCCTGTGGATTGTTTTTTTTTTTTGCAAAATTCCTGATTTTTTGTTTCCCACTTTTTCCTTCTCTTTTCCAGATTTTTTCCAAGAGAAACATGGAAAAAAATTAGAAAAAATTGGGGAAAATTGTAAAAAAATTGCGAAAAAATTGCAAAAAAATCCAGAAAAATACCTAAAAAAAGGCGTAAAATGGCCAAAATTCCCCCGATTTTCGCGCGGTTTTTTTTGGAAAATTCCGGAATTTTTTCCCCATTTTTCCCGATCCGATCCCGGTGTTTTTCCCGTTGGCAGTTCCCGTTCGAGTCGCTGTTCCGCTCGCAGCACTTCGCGCTGTTGGACGCCGCGTGCCGCGAGTTCGCCTTCCTCAGCGAATTCTTCCTGGTCAGCGGCAACGGCGCCCAGGAGCTGTTCAACGCTGTCATGGGACGGACACTCAGCATGTTCCAGGTGAATTCTGGGAATTTTGGGAATTTTGGGAATTTTTTGGGAATTTTGGTGAATTTTTTGGGACATTATGGGGATTTTTACGCGATTTTCTGGCAATTTTAGGTGCTTTTTAGGGGTTTATTTTGAATTTTTCAATGATTTTTTGGGGTTTATTTTGAGTTTTCTTGGGATTTTTCAGGGATTTTATGACTTGGGATTTTTTTGGATTTTTTCGGATTTTTTTTGGTATTTTAGGAATTTTTTGGGATTTTTTTGGGGATTTATTAGGGATTTTTGTGAGTTTTTGGAGGATTTTTTGGGGTCTCTGCCCAGGAATTGTTCAACGCCGTCATGGGACGGATGCTCAGCATGTTCCAGGTCAGTTTTTGGGAATTTTGGGAATTTTTTGGGTATTTTTGGGAATTTTTTGGCATATTTTGGGGATGTTTGGGGGATTTTATGGCAAATTTTTGGGGTTTTTTTAGGGGTTTCTTTTGAATTTTTCAATGACTTTTTGGGGTTTATTTTGAATTTTCTGGGGATTTTTCAAAGATTTTGGGTGTTGGAATTTTTTGGGATTTTTTGGGAATTTTTTTGGAATTTATTTTGAATTTTAGGGATTTTTAGAGGGATTTCTGGCATTTATTTTGAATTTGGAAAGGATTTTTTCGAGTTTATTTTGAATTTTCTTGGGATTTTTCAGGGATTTTGGGTGTTGAGATTTTTTGGAAATTTTTGGGAATTTTTGGGGGATTTTTTGGGGATTTCCTGGGATTTTTTGGGATTTTTTTTGGAATTTTGGGGATTTTTTTTTTTGATTTTTGGGGGATTTTTTGGGGTCTCTGCCCAGGAATAGTTCAACGCCGTCATGGGACGGACGCTCTCCATGTTCCAGGTGAATTCTGGGAATTTCGGGAATTTCGGGAATTTTTCGGGAATTTTGGGGAAAATTTTGGGACATTTTGGGGATGTTCTGGGGCTTTTATGGTGATTTTTTTGGGATTTTTTTTGGTTTATTTTGAATTTTTCAATGATTTTTTGGGGTTTATTTTGAATTTCCTGGGGATTTTTCAGGGATTTTAGGACTTGGGATTTTTTTGGATTTTTTTGGAATTTTTTTGGTATTTTAGGAATTTTTTGGGATTTTTTTTGGGATTTATTAGGGATTTTTGTGAGTTTTTGGAGGATTTTTTGGGGTCTCTGCCAAGGAATTGTTCAACGCCGTCATGGGACGGACCCTCAACATGTTCCAGGTGAATTTTTGGGAATTTCGGGAATTTCGGGAATTCTGGGGGAAAATTTTGGGACATTTTGGGGATGTTTGGGGCATTTTATGGCGATTTTATGGTGATTTTTTGGGATTTTTTTGGATTTTTCTGGCATTTATTTTGAATTTTTCAATGATTTTTTAGAGTTTATTTTGAATTTGGGAAGGATTTTTTGAGAAATTCGGGTGTTGGAATTTTTTTGGGAATTTTTTGGATTTTTTTGGGATTTTTTTGGGGATTTATTGAGGATTTTTGTGAGTTTTGGGGATTTTTTTGGGTCTCTGCCCAGGAGCTCTTCAACGCCATCATGGGACGGAGCCTCTCTATGTTCCAGGTGAATTCTGGGAATTTCGGGAATTTTTTGGGAATTTTTGTGAATTTTTTGGGACATTTTGGGGATTTTTAGGCAATTTTATGGCGATTTTTAGGGATTTTTTTGGGATTTTTTCGGGTTTATTTTGAAATTTTCAATGATTTTTTGGGGTTTATTTCGAATTTGGAAAGGATTTTTTGGGAATTTTGGGTGTTGGAATTTTTTTGGGAATTTTTTGGATTTTTTGGGGATTTTTTGGGATATTTTTTGGGATTTATTGAGGATTTTTGTGAGTTTTTGGGGATTTTTTGGGGTCTCTGCCCAGGAATTGTTCAACGCCGTCATGGGACGGACCCTCTCCATGTTCCAGGTGAATTTTTGGGAAATTTGGGAATTTCGGGAATTTCGGGGAAAATTTTGGGATGTTTTGGGGATGTTTTGGGGCTTTTATGGCAATTTTATGGCGATTTTTTTTGATTTTTTGGCATTTATTTTGAATTTTTCAATGATTTTTTTAGAGTTTATTTTGAATTTGGAAAGGATTTTTTAGGGATTTTGGGACTTGGGATTTTTTGGGAATTTTTTGGGGAATTTTTTGGAATTTTGGGGATTTTTCAGGATATTTTTGGATTTTTTTTGAATTTTTGGGGATTTTTTGGGGGATTTTTTGGGGTCTCTGCCCAGGAGCTCTTCAACGCCGTCATGGGCAGGACCCTCAGCATGTTCCAGGTGAATCCCGGGAATTTTGGGAATTTTGGGGAAATTTTTGGGAATTTCGGGAATTTTGGGGGATTTTTGGATTTTTGGGTTTTTTAGGAATTCTTGGGGATTTTTAGGCAAAATTTAGGGGATTTCAGAGGGATTTTTTTGGGGATTATTTTGAATTTTCTGGGGATTTTCCAGGAATTTTGGGAGTTGGGATTTTTTGGGAATTTTCTGGGATTTTTTAGGCGATTTTTAGGTGATTTTCTGGGGGTTTTTTTGTTTATTTTGAATTTTTCAGCAATTTTGGGGGATTTTTTTGGGTTTATCTTCAATTTTCTTGGAAATCTTTCCAGAATTTCAGGAGTGGGAAGTTTTTGGGAATTTTGGGGATTTTTTGGGGGGGGGTTGGCGATTTTTTTTCAATTATTTTGAATTTTCAGGGAATTTTTCTGGGATTTTTGGGGCTTTATTTTTATTTTTTCGTTGTATTTTTTTTAGTGCTTATTTTGAATTTTCCGGGAATTTTTCATGAATTTTGACTGTGGGAATTTTTTGGGAATATTCGGGAGTTTATTTGGGGATTTTTGGGGAGTTGATTTGGGAGGATTTTTTGGGGGATTTCTGGGGATATTTCGTGATTTCAACTGATTTTTTTGGGGGTTCATTTGTGATTTTTTTTTTTTTTGTATATTTGGCATTTTTTGTGGATATTTGCGATTTTTTGGGAATTTTTTTGGGTCTATTTGATGATTTTTGTGGAATTTTTCCTCCTTTTCCCCATTTCCCCTCCGTCCCTCCCATTCCCTGGGGGTTTTTTGCCGTTCCCTTGGAAACTCCGAATTTCCCGGGGTTTTTGCCGGAAATTCCCGGTTTTTTCCGGGTTTTTCCGGGAATTCTGAGGGGCGGAACCTTCCAGAAGCACCTGGAGAGTTTCGTGGCCGATTGTTACGACGCCATCGCCGTTTTCCTCTGCATCCACCTGGCGCTGCGCTTCCGCGCCCTCATGGCCAAGCGGGGCGTGCCCGCCCTCGATGGGTGAGAATTCCCGAAATTCCCAACAATTCCCAGAAATTCCCAGAAATTCCCAGCGGGAAATCCCAAAATTCCCCGGAATTCCCACAAAAATCCGTTAGAAATTCCCCTAAAACACCTGACAAATCCTCATGGCCCAGAGGGGCGTCCTCACCCTTGACGGGTGAGAATTCCCAAAAATCAAAAAAATTCCCAGAAATTCCCCAAAATTCCCAAAAAATCCCAGCAGGAATTCCCAAAAATCCCACCAGGAGTTGCCCCAAAATTCCCTCAGGAGCCTTCATGGCCCAGAGGGGCGTCCTCGCCCTCGACGGGTGAGAATTCCCGAAATTCCACGGAATTCCCAACAATTCCCAGCAATAATTCCCAAAATTCCCCAGAATTCCCCCAGAAATCCATCAGAAATTAAAAAAAAATCCACCAGGAATTCCCAAATTCCCTCAGGAGCCCTCATGGCCAAGAGGGGCGTGCCCGCCCTCGACGGGTGAGAATTCCCGAAATTCCCAACAATTCCCAGAAATTCCCAGCGGGAATTCCCAAAAATCCGCCAGAAATTCCAAAAAACCCCAGCAGGAATTCCCAAAAATCCCACCAGAAATTCCCAAAAATCCAGCAGGAATTTCTCCAAAATCCTTCAGAAATTCCTTCAGAATTCCCAAAAATTCTCAGCAGGAATTCCCAAAATTTCCCAGCAGGAATTCCCAAAAATCCACCAGGAAACCCCAAATTTCCCCAGAATTCCCCCAGAAATCCATTAGAAATTCCCCTAAAACACCTCACGAATCCTCACGGCCAAGAGGGGCGTGCCCGCCCTCGATGGGTGAGAATTCCCGAAAATCCATGGAATTCCCAAAATTCCCAACAATTCCCAAAAAAATCCTAAGAGGAATTCCCAAAAAACCCACCAGGAATTACCAAAATTCCCTCAGAATTCCCAAAAATCCCCAGCGGGAATTCCCAAAAATCCTCAGAATTCCCCCAAAAATCCGTCAGAATTCCCAAAAATCCTTGGAATTCCCAAAAATCCCCACCAGGAATTCCCCAAAGTTCCCAGGAATTCCCCCAAAAAATCCGTCAGAAATTTCTCAAAAATCCCACCAGGAATTCCCAAAATCCTTCAGGATCCCTCATGGCCAAGCGCGGCGTGCCTGCCCTCGACGGGTGAGAATTCCCAAAATTCCCCGGAATTCCCAAAAATTCCCAGCAGAAATTCCCAAAAATCCCCTGGAATTTCCTCCAAAATCCATCAGAATTCCCCAAAATGGGTCAGGAATTCCCGGCAGTGCCGGAGCTTCCGCACCCTCATGGCCAAGAGGGGCGTTCCTGCCCTCGACGGGTGAGAATTCCCAAAATTCCACGGAATTCCCGAAATTCCCAACAATTCCCACCAGGAATTCCCAAAAAATCCAGCAGGAATTCCCAAAAAATCCAGCAGGAAATCCCAAAATCCATCAGAATTTCCCCCAAATCTGTCAGAAATTCCCAAAAATCCAGCAGGAATTCCTCCAAAATCCTTCAGAAATTCCTTCAGAATTCCCAAAAATTCTCAGCAGGAATTCCCAAAATTTCCCAGCAGGAATTCCCAAAAATCCACCAGGAAACCCCAAATTTCCCCAGAATTGCCCCAAAAATCCATTAGAAATTCCCCTAAAACACCTGACGAATCCTCATGGCCAAGCGCAACGTCCCCACCCTCGACGGGTGAGAATTCCCAAAAATCCCAACAATTCCCAAAAATTCCCAGCAGGAAATCCCAAAAATCCAGCAGGAATTCCCCCCAAATCTGTCAGAAATTCCCAAAAATCCAGCAGGAATTCCTCCAAAATCCTTCAGAAATTCCCACCAGGAATTCCCAAAAATTCCCAGCAGGAATTCCCAACATTTCCTTGGAATTCCCAAAAATCCCAGCAGGAAATCCCAAAATTCCCCGGAATTCCCACAAAAATCCGTTAGAAATTCCCCTAAAACACCTCACGAATCCTCACGGCCAAGCGCGGCGTGCCCGCCCTCAACGGGTGAGAATTCCTGAAAATCCATGGAATTTCCAACAATTCCCAGCGGGAATTCCCAAAAATCCCCTGGAATTCCCACAAAAATCCGACAGAAATTCCCAAAAATTCCCAGCAGGAATTCGCAAAAATCCCTAGCAGGATTTCCCAAAATTCTCCGAAATTCCCAAAAATCCCCTGGAATTCCCGCAAAAATCCACCAGAAATTCCCAAAAATCCACCAGAAATTCCCAAAAATCCCAACAATTCCCAAAATTCCTAAAATTCCCACCAGGAATTCCCAAAAATTCCCAGCAGGAATTCCCAACATTTCCTTGGAATTCCCAAAAATCCCAGCAGGAATTCCCAAAAACCCTACCAGGAATTCCCAAAATCCCCTGGAATTCCCAAAAATCCCAGCAGGAATTCCCAAAATTCCCTCAGGATCCCTCATGGCCAAGCGCAGCGTGCCCGCCCTCGACGGGTGAGAATTCCCAAAATTCCCAACAATTCCCAGAAATTCCCAACGGGAATTCCCAAAAATCCAGCAGGAATTCCCGAAAATCCATCATCATTTCCCCAAAATCCATCTGGAATTCCCAAAAATTCCCACCAGAAATGCCAAAAAAATCCACCAGGAAATCCCAAAAATTCCCAGCAGCAAATCCCAAAAATCCCAGCAGGAATTCCGAAAAATTCCCAGCAGGAATTCCCAAAATTCCCTCAGAATTCCCAAAAATCTCTTGAAAAAATCCTGAAATCCACTAAACCCCCTTAAAAATCCACTAAAAATTCCCTTTAATCCACCCAAATCCCCCGGGCTCCACCCCAGACTTCCCAAAATTCCCTCAGAATTCCAAAAATTCCCTCAGAATTCCCAAAAATTCCCTTAGCATTCCCAAAATTCCCTCAGAATTCCCAAAATTCCCTCAGAATTCCCAAAAATCTGTCAAGAAATTCCTAAAATCCACCAAAACCCCCTTGAAATTCCATTTAAAATCCCCTTTAACCCACCCAACCCCCCCCTGGCCCCACCCCAGACTTCCCAAAATTCCCAGAATAATTCCCGAAATTCCCGAAATTCCCTCAGAATTCCCCAAATTCCCAGAAAATTCCCCCAGAATTCCCTCCGAATTCCCAAAATTCCCAAAAATCTCTTGAAAAAATCCTGAAATCCACTAAAACCCCCTTAAAAATCCACTCAAAATCCCCTTTAACCCACCCCAAACCCCCCGGGCCCCACCCCAGAATTCCCGAAAATCCCAAAATTCCCTCAGAATTCCCAAAAATTCCCTCAGAATTCCCAGAAATCCCCGAAAACCTCTTGGAATCCCTCCCAAAATCCACAAAAAATCCGTTGAAAATTCCCTTTAATCCACCCTGGACCCCACCAGCTCCACCCCAAAATTCCCTCAGAATTCCCAAAAATTCCCTCAGAATTCCCAAAACTCTGTCAAGAAATTCCTAAAATCCACCAAAATTCCCTTGAAATTCCATTTAAAATCCCCTTTAACCCACCCAAACCCCCCAGGCCCCACCCCAGAATTCCCGAAATTCCCGAAATTCCCTCAGAATTCCCAAAATTCCCAGAAAATTCCCCCAGAATTCCCTCCGAATTCCCAAAATTCCCAAAAATCTCTTGAAAAATTCCTGAAATCCACCAAAATCCCCTTGAAAATCCCATTTAAAATTCCCTTTAATCCACCCATACCCCCCGGGCCCCACCCCAGACTTCCCGAAAATCCCAAAATTCCCTCAGAATTCCCAAAAATTCCCTCAGAATTCCCAAAAATCCTCGAAAATCTCTTGGAAAACCTCCTGGAATCCACAAAAAATCCCTTGAAATTCCTTTTTAAATCCCTTGAAAATCCCATTTAAAATCCTCTTTAATCCACCCATACCCCCCGGGCTCCACCCCAGAATTCCCAAAATTCCTGAAATTCCCTCAGAATTCCTGAAATTCCCAGAAAATTCCCTCAGAATTCTCTTAGAATTCCCTCAGAATTCCCAAAAATCTCTCAAGAAATTCCTAAAATCCACCAAAATCCCCTTGAAATTCCATTTAAAATCCCCTTTAACCCACCCCGGATCCCCCAGGCCCCACCCCAGACTTCCCAAAATTCCCTCAGAATTCCCAAAAATCTCTCAGAATTCCCAAAAATTCCCGGAGAACTCCCAAAAATCTCTCAAAAAATTCCTGAAATCCACCAAAATCCCTTAAAATTCCGTTTAAAATCCCCTTTAACCCACCCCAAACCCCCTGGGCCCCACCCCGGACTTCCCAAAATTCCCTCAGAATTCTCAAAATTCCCAGAAAATTCCCTCAGAATTCCCACAGAATTCCCAAAACTCCCCAAAAATGTCTTGGAAAACCTCCTGGAATGCACCAAAATCCCTTGAAAATCCCTGGAAATTCCATTTAAAATCCCCTTTAACCCACCCCAAACCCCCCGGACCCCACCCCAGACTTACCAAAATTCCCGAAATTCCCTGAGAATTCCCAAAATTCCCTCAGAATTCCCAAAAATCCCTGAAAATCTCTTGGAATCTGTCCCAAAATCCACAAAAAACCAGTTGAAAATTCCCTTTAATCCACACCGGACCCCCCGGGCTCCACCCCAGAATTCCCCAAATTCCCAAAATTCCCCAGAATTCACAAAAATTCTCTCAGAATTCCCGAAATTCCCTCAGAATTCCCAAAAATCCCCAAAAATCTCTTGGAAAACCTCCTGGAATCCACAAAAATCCCTTGAAAATTGCTTGAAAATCGCATTTAAAATCCCCTTGAATCCACCCCAGACCCCCCGGGCCCCACCCCAGACTTCCCGAAATTCCCGAAATTCCCTCAGAATTCCCAAAATTCTCTCAGAATTCCCAAAAATCCCTGAAAATCTCTTGGAAAACCTCCTGGAATCCACAAAAACCCCCTTAAATATCCACTCAAAATCCCCTTTAATCCACCCCAAACCTCACGGGCTCCACCCCAGACTTCCTAAAAATTCCCTTAGAATTCCCAAAATTCCCTCATTATTCCCAAAAATTCCCTCAGAATTCCCAAAAATCTGTCGGAAAATTCCTGGAATCCATCCCAAGCCCATTGAAATTCCCTTTTAAATCTCCTGAAAATCCTTTAAAAATCCCTTTAAAATCCCTGGAAATTCCCTTTAATCCACCCCAAACCCCTGGGCCCCACCCCAGACTTCCCAAAATTCCCAAAATTCCCTCAGAATTCCCAAAAATCTCTCGAAAAATTCCTGGAATCCTGAAAGATCCCCTTGAAAATCCCTGGAAATTCCATTTAAAATCCCCTTTAACCCACTCCAAACGCCCTGGGCTCCACCCCAGACTTCCCGAAATTCCTGAAATTCCTTCAGAATTCCCAAATTTCCCAGAAAATTCCCCCAGAATACCCTCAGAATTCGCAAAATTCCCAAAAATCTCTTGAAAAATTCCTGAAATCACGAAAATCCCCTTGAAATTTCCTTTAAAATCCCTTGAAAATCCCATTTAAAATCCCCTTTAACCCACCCTAAACCCCCTGGACCCCACCCCAGACTTCCCAAAATTCCCTCAGAATTCCCCAAAATTCCCAGAAAATTCCCCCAGAATTCCCTCCGAATTCCCAAAATTCCCAAAAATCTTTTGAAAAATTCCTGAAATCCACCAAAATCCCCTTGAAAATCCCATTTAAAATTCCCTTTAATCCACCCCAAACCCGCCGGGCTCCACCCCAGACTTCCCGAAATTCCCCAAATTCCCAAAATTCCCTCAGAATTCCCAATATTCCCCCAGAATTCCCAAAAATTCCCTCAGAATTCCCAAAAATCTGTCAAGAAATTCCTAAAATCCACCAAAATTCCCTTAAAATTCCATTTAAAACCCCCTTTAACCCACCCCAACCCCCCTGGCCCCACCCCAGACTTCCCAAAATTCCCAAAATTCCCTCAGAATTCCCAAAAATTCCCTCAGAACTCCCAAAAATCACTCAAGAAATTCCTAAAATCCACCAAAATTCCCTTAAAATTCCATTTAAAATCCCCTTTAACCCACCCAAACCCCCCGGGCCCCACCCCAGACTTCCCGAAATTCCCTCAGAATTCCCAAAAATTCCCTCAGAATTCCTGAAATTTGCTCGGAATTCCCAAAATTCCCTCAGAATTCCCAAAAATACCTTGGAAAACCTCCTGGAATCCACGAAAATCCCTTGAAAATCCCTTAAAATTCCATTTAAAATCCCCTTTAATCCACCCCAAACCTCCGGGCCCCACCCCAGACTTCCCAACATTCCCAAAATTCCCTCAGAATTCCCAAAAATCCCCGAAAATCTCTTGGAAAACCTCCTGTGATCCACCAAAATTCCTTGAAAATCCCTTGAAATTCCATTTAAAATCCCCTTTAACTTACCCAAACCCCCCGGGCCCCACCCCAGACTTCCCAAAATTCCTGAAATTCCTTCAGAATTCCCAAATTTCCCAGAAAATTCCCCCAGAATTCCCTCCGAATTTGCAAAATTCCCAAAAATCTCTTGAAAAATTCCTGAAATCACGAAAATCCCCTTGAAATTTCCTTTAAAATCCCTTGAAATTCCATTTAAAATCCCCTTGAATTCACCCCAAACCCCCCGGGCCCCATCCCAGACTTCCAGAAATTCCCGAAATTCCCGAAATTCCCGGAACAATTCCCAAAATTCCCAAAATTCCGTAATCCAGGTACTGGGCGTGGCTGCTGGAGCTGCTGTGGCCGCGCTTTGAGCTGATCCTGGAGCTGCACATCCGCAGCGTGCAGGGAACCGACCCACAGAGGCTCGGGATGGACACACGGCCACACTATGTGAGACGGGAATTCCAGGGAAAACGGGAAAAACGGGAATTCTGGGAATTCCAGGAGAAAAATGGGAAAAAATCTGGGGGAAAAAATGGGATTTATTGGGGAAAAAATGCGAATTATTGGGGAAAAATGGGAATTATTGGGGAGAAATGGGAAAAATCTGGGCGAAAAAATGGGATTTATTGGGGTAAAAATGGGATTTATTGGGAAAAAATGGGACTTATTAGGGAAAAAATCTGAATTATGGGGCTGAAAATGGGAATTATTGGGGGAAAAATGGGAATTATTGGGGAAAATGGGAATTATTGGGGAAAAAATGCGAATTATGGGGGGAAATGGGGAAAATCCTGGAATTCTGGGGGAAAAAATGGGATTTATTGGGGGGAAAATGGGAATTATTGGGGAAAAATGGGAATTATGGCGGAAAATGGGAATTATTGGGGAATAAATGGGAATTCTGGGGGGAAAATGGAAGTTATTGGGGAAAAATGGGAATTCAGTGGGGAAAAATGGGAATTTTGGGGGTAAAAATGGGAATTCTGAGAGAAAAAATAGGAATTCTGAGAGAAAAAATGGGAGTTCTGGGAGAAAAAATGGGAATTTTGGGGGAAAAATGTGAATTTTGGGGAGCAAATGCTGGGAATGTCAGGGGTGGGGGAGGGGCAGGAACCGACCCATTTTTTCCCCATTTTTTTCCCTTTTTCTCCTGGTTTTTTTTTTCCATATTTTTCCCCATTCCCCCGATAATTCCCATTTCCCCCATTTTTATCCCCATTTTCCCCCCTGTTTTTTCCCCGTTTTTCTCCTTCCCCCCAATAATTCCCATTTTCCCAATTTTATCCCCATTTTCCCCCCTTTTCCCCATTTTTCCCCATTCCCCCGATAATTCCCATTTTTTCCCCATTTTCCCCCCATTTTTCCCCCTTTTTATTCCCATTTCCCCCATTTCTCCCCATTTTTCCCCCTGATTATTACCATTTTCCCCATTTTCCCCCATTTTCCCCCATTTTCCCCCATTTTCCCCCCATTTTTCCTCGTTTTTCTCCATTCCCCCCCCGATAATTCCCATTTTCCCCCATTTTCCCCATTTTTGTCCCCATTTTTCCCCCATTTTTCCCCGTTCCCCCCGATTATTCCCATTTTCTCCATTTTATCCCCATTTTTTCCCCATTTTTCTGCATTTTCCCCATTTTCCCCCGTTTTTCCCCATTCCCCCTGATAATTCCCATTTTCCCCCATTTTTATCCCCATTCTCCCCATTTTCCCCTGTTTTTCTCCCGTTTTTCCCCATTCCCCTCCGATAATTCCCAATTTTCCCCATTTTTTCCCCCATTTTCCCCATTTTTCCCCGTTTTTCCCCTATTTTTCCCCATTCCCCCCCATAACTCCCATTTTCCCCCATTTTTATCCCCATTTTTCCCATTTTTCTCCCCATTTTCCCCATTTTTTCCCCATTTTCCCCCGTTTTTCCCCATTCCCCCCAATAATTCCCATTTTCCCCCATTTTTATCCCCATTCTCCCCATTTTCCCCCGTTTTTCTCCTGTTTTTCCCCATTCCCCTCCGATAATTCCCATTTTTCCCCATTTTTTCCCCATTTTCCCATTTTATCCCCATTTTCCCCCGTTTTTCCCCATTCCCCCCCAATAATTCCCATTTTCCCCCATTTTTATCCCCATATTTTCCCCATTTTTTCCCCATTTTTATCCCCATGTTTCCCCATTTTTCCCCATTTTCCCCATTTTTCCCCATTTTTCCCCATTTTTCCCCCATTTTCCCCATTTTTCCCCATTTCCCCCCATTTTTCCCTCGTTTTCCCCCATCCCCCCCAATAATTCCCATTTTCCCCATTTTTATCCCCATTCTCCCCATTTTCCCCCATTTTTCCCCGTTTTTCCCCTATTTTTCCCCATTCCCCCCATAATTCCCATTTTCCCCCATTTTTATCCCCATTTTTCCCCATTTTTATCCCCATTTTTTCCCCATTTCCCCCCATTTTTATCCCCATTTCCCCCCATTTTTCTCCCCATTTTCCCCATTTTTTCCCCATTTTTCCCCATTTTTCTCCATTTTTCCCCCATTTTTATCCCCATTTCCCCCACCCCCCCGCCAATTCCCGTTTTTGCCCATTTTTTGGGTTTTTCTCCCCAGATCACGCGCCGTTACGCCGAATTCTCCTCAGCCATCGTCAGCATCAACCAAACCCTGCCCAGCGAGAGGAGCGACGCGCTGCTGGCGCGGCTGCAGGTCTGGGACGGACTGGGACAAACTGGGACGGACTGGGAGGGACTGGGAGGGACTGGGATGGACTGGGACAAACTGGGAGGGACTGGGAGGGACTGGGAGCAAAAAACAGGGAAAGAATCGGACAAAAAATGGGAAAAATCCAGGGAAAATGGGGGAAAAAATTCCAAATTTTCCTCCCTTTCCCATATTCCCCCCCTTTATTTCCCCATTTCCCACAATTTTCCGTCCTTTTTTCCCCATTTTCCCCCTTTATTTCCCCATTGTCCCCATTTTTCTCCATTTTTCTCCATTTCCCTCCCAATTTCCCCCCATTTTTCCCCATTTTTGCCCATTTTTCCCATTGTCCCCCATTCTCCCCCCTTTATTTCCCCTTTTTTTCTCCATTTTTCACATTTTTTCTCCGTTTTCCCCTATTTTTTCCATTTCCTTAATTTTTTCCCATTTTCCCCATTTTTCCCACTTTCCCCTTTATTTCTGTGCTTTTCCCCCTTTATTTCCCCTTTTTTCTGCATTTCACCCCATTTTTTCTTCATTTTCCCCATTTTTTCCATTTTCCCATTTTTTCCCCATTTTGCCCCATTTTCCACTTTATTTCCCCATTTTTCTCCATTTTTTCCCATTTCCCCCCATTTTTCCTCTTTATTTCTCCATTTTCCCCTATTTTCTCAATTTTTCACCATTTCCCCCCTTTCTTTCCCCTTTTTCTCCATTTTCTCCATTTTCTCGAATTTTCCCCATTTCCCACCCTATTTTCCCCCATTTTTCCCCATTTTTCTCTATTTTCCCCGATTTTTTCCCATTTTTTCCCAATTTTCCCATTTCCCCCCATTTCCCCCCTTTATTTCCCCATTATTTCTCCATTTTTCTTCATTTTCTCCATTCCCCCCATTTCCCCCCATTTTCTCCCAATTTTTTCCCCATTTTTCTCCATTTTCCCATTTTTCCCCAATTTCCCCCATTTCCCCTCATTTTTGCTCCATTTTCCCCCATTTCCCCCAATTTCCCCTTTATTTCCCCTTTATTTCCACATTTTTCTCCATTTTTTCCCATTTTCCCGAATTTTTCCCCTTTATTTCCCCATTTTTCCCCTTTATTTCTCCTTTTTTTTTCATTTTTCCCCTTTATTTCCCCTTTATTTCCCCATTTTTCTCCATTTTTCTCAGTTTTTTCCCGATTTTTCCAATTTTTTCCCATTTTTCCCCTTTATTTCCCCCTTTATTTCCCTTTATTTCCCCATTTTTTCCCATTTTTCCCATTTTTCCCTTTTTTTCCCCAGCTGGAGGTGGAGAACCTGGTTCTGCGCGCGGCCGCCGAGTTTCCGTCGCGCCGGGAGCAGCTCGTCTTCCTCATCAACAACTACGACATGATGCTCGGGGTGCTCATGGTATTCCCAGAATTCCCAAATTTCCCAAAATTCCCAAAAAATTCCCAAAAAATCCCAAAAATTCCCAGCCAAAATCACCCAAAAATAGCGCCAAAATCATCCAAAAATGCCCCAAATTCCCTCGAGCTGCTCCACCTCCTCATCAACAACTACGACATGATGCTCAGCGTGCTGATGGTATTCCCAGAATTCCCAAATTCCCAAAATTCCCCAAAAAATTCCAAAAAAATCCCCAAATTCCTGCAAAAATCCCAGCCAAAATCGCCCAAAAATAGCAAAAAATGGTCCAGAAATCACCAAAAATGTCCCAGATTTCACCCGAGCAGCTCCAGTTCCTCATCAACAACTACAACATGATGCTGAGCGTGCTGATGGTATTCCCAAAATTCCCAAATTCCCAAAATTCCCAAAAAATTCCCAAAAAATCCCAGCCAAAATCGCCCCAAAATAGCAAAAAATGCCCCAAAAATCACCAAAAATGCCCCAAATTCCACCTGAGCAGCTCCACTTCCTCATCCCCAACTCTGCCAGGATGTTCTGGGTGCTCATGGTATTCCCAAAATTCCTGAATTCCCAAAATTCCCAAAAATATTCCCAAAAATTAAAAAAAAAACCCCAGCAAAAATCACCCCAAAATCACCCAAAAAATAGCAAAAAAAGGCCCAAAACCCCTGAAACTGCCCCAAAATCCCTCCAGGATTCTTCAAAATTCCCCCCAAAATTCCCTTTTTTCCCCAAAAATCCCATTTTCCCCCCCAAAATTCCCCCAAAATTCCACATTTCCCCCCCAAATTCCCATTTCCCCCCAAAATTCCCCCCAAAATTCCCATTTTCCCCCAGATTTTCCCCCAAAATTCCCCCCATGATTCCAATTTTTCCCCCAAAATTCCACTTTTTTCCCCCAAAATTCCCATTTTTCCCCCAAAATTCCCATTTTTCCCCAAAATTCCCCCCAAAATTCCCTTTTTTTCCCGAAAAATCCCATTTTCTCCCAATATTCCCCCAAAATTCCAATTTTTCCCCCAAAATTCCCATTTTTCCCCAAATTTTCCCCCAGAATTCCCATTTTCCCCCAGAATTCCCATTTTTCCCCGAATTTCCCCCCAGAATTCCCATTTTCCCCCAAAATTCTCCTTTTTTCTCCATTAAATTAATTCATTTCCCCTAAAATTCCCCCTTTTTTTCCCATTAAATTCATTCTTTTTCCCCAATATTTCACCTTTTCCCCCCAAATTTCCCCTGTTTTTTCCCCCAAATTCCCCCGTTTTTCCCAAATTCCCGTTTTTTTTCCCCGAATTTCCCCGAGCCGGGGGATTTTGGGGCCATTTGGGGGTTTTTGGGGTTCCAGGAGCGAGCGGTGGAGGAGAGCAAAGAGGTCGAGGGGTTCCAGCAGCTGCTGGCGGCGCGCACACAGGTCAGCCCCAAAAACGCCGGAATTCACCCTAAAATACACCCCCAGAACTGCCAGAATTCACCCCAAAATCTGCCCCAAAATCCACCCCAATTCACCCCAAAATTCACCCCCAGAACTGCCCCAATTCACCCCAAAATTCACCCCCAAATCCTCCCCAATTCACCCCAAAATCCACCCCAAAACCGCTGGAATTCACCCCAAAATCCACCCCAGAACTGCCAGAATTCACCCCAAAATCTGCCCTGAAACCGCCAGAATTCACCCCAAAATACACCCCCAAAACTGCTGGAATTCACCCCAAAATTCACCCCCAGAACTGCCAGAATTCACCCCAAAATTCACCCCCAAACTGGCAGAATTCACCCAAAAATTCACCCCAAAATCCTCCCCAATTCACCCCAAAATTCACCCCCAGAACTGCCAGAATTCACCCCAAAATCTGCCCCGAAACCGCCAGAATTCACCCCAAAATCCACCCCGAAATCCTCCCCAATTCACCCCAAAATTCACCCCGAAACTGCCAGAATTCACCCCAAAATCTGCCCCAAAATCCTCCCCAATTCACCCCAAAATCCGCCCCGAAACTGCCCCGAAACCGCCCGAATTCACCCCAGAATTCACCCCTGAAACCACCAGAATTCACCCCAAAATCCGCCCCAAAATCCGCCCCAAAACCACCATAATTCACCCCAAAATTCACCCCAAAATCTGCCCCGAAACCGCCCGAATTCACCCCAAAATCCGCCCCCAAAACCGCTGGAATTCACCCCAAAATCCGCCCTGAAACCGCCGGAATTCACCCCAAAATCCACCCCCAAAATCCACCCCCAGAACCGCCGGAATTCACCCCAAAATCCACCCCCAAAATCCACCCCCAAAATTCACCCCAAACCGCCCCAAATTCACCCCAAAATTCACCCCCGAAACCGCCCGAATTCACCCCAAAATCTGCCCCGAAACCGCCACAATTCACCCCAAAATCCGCCCCAAAACTGCCCGAATTCACCCCAAAATCCACCCCAAAACCGCCGGAATTCACCCCAAAATCCGCCCCAAAACTGCCCCAATTCATCCCAAAATCTGCCCTGAAACCGCCCGAATTCATCCCAAAATCCACCCCCAGAACCGCCGGAATTCACCCCAAAATCCGCCCCGAAACCGCCGGAATTCACCCCAAAATTCACCCCCAAAACTGCCCGAATTCACCCCAAAATCTGCCCCGAAACCGCCCCAATTCACCCCAAAATTCACCCCAAAACCACCGGAATTCACCCCAAAATCCGCCCCAAAATTCACCCCCAAAACCGCCCGAATTCACCCCAAAATCCGCCCCCAAAATTCACCCCAAAACCGCCAGAATTCACCCCAAAATCCGCCCCGAAACCACCCAAATTCACCCCAAAATTTACCCCCAGAACTGCCCCAATTCATCCCAAAATTCACCCCCAAAACCACCGGAATTCACCCCAAAATCCACCCTGAAACCGTCAGAATTCACCCCAAAATCTGCCCCGAAACCGCCCGAATTCACCTCAAAATCTGCCCTGAAACTGACGGAATTCACCCCAAAATTCACCCCCAGAACCGCCGGAATTCACCCCAAAATCCACCCCAAAATCCACCCCAAAACCGCCCGAATTCACCCCAAAATCCGCCCCAAAAACACCTGAATTCACCCCAAAATCCGCCCCCAAATCCTCCCCGATTCACCCCAAAATTCACCCCGAAACCGCCCCAATTCACCCCAAAATCTGCCCCAGAACCGCCCGAATTCACCCCAAAATTCACCCCCAAAACTGCCCCAATTCACCCCAAAGTTCACCACGAAAACCACCAGAATTCACCCCAAAATTCACCCTATGACCGTCCCAATTCACCCCAAAATTCACCCTGAAACCGCCGGAATTCACCCCAAAATTCACCCCCAAACTGCCAGAATTCACCCCAAAATTCACCCCAAAATCCACCCCCAAATCCTCCCCAATTCACCCCAAAATCCGCCCTGAAACCGCCGGAATTCACCCCAAAATTCACCCCAAAACTGCCGGAATTCACCCCAAAATGGGGAAAAATTGGAGGAAAACGGGAACACAAAGGGGGAAAAATTGGGGGGAAATGGGAAAAAATGGGTGAAAAATAGAGAAAAATGGGAAAAATGGGAAGAAAGGGGGAGAAATGGGGAAAATGGAGACAAAAATGGGGGAAATAGGAAAAATTGGGGAGAAATGGGAGAAAATGTTGGAGAAATGGGAAAAATGGGGGAGAAATGGGAGGAAATTGGAGGGAAATGGGGAAAAATGGGAACAAAAAGGTGAAAAATTGGGGGGAAATGGGAAAAATGGGTGAAAAATGCGGGGGAAATGGGAAAAATGGGGGAGAAATGGGAGAAAATTGGAGGAAAATGGGGTGAAATGGGAACAAAAAGGGGAAAAATTGGGGGGAATGGGAAAAAATGGGTGAAAAAGAGAAAAATGGGGGGAATTGAGAAAAATGGGAGCAAATGGGGAGAAATGGGGAAAATTGAGACAAAAATTTGGGAAAAAGGGAAAAAATGGGAAGAAAATGGGAAAAAATGGGGGGAAAATGAGAAAAAAGAGGGAAAATGTGGGGAAATGGGGAAAAATGGGAACAAAAAGGGGGGAAAATGGGGGAAATGGGAAAAATTGGGTGAAAAAGAGAGAAAATGGGGGAAATGGAGAAAAATGGGGGGAAATGGGAGAAATGGGGGAGAAATGGGGAAAAATTGGAAAAATGGGGAGAAAATGGGAACAAAAATGGGGGGAAATGGGGAGAAATGGGGAAAAGAGAGAAAAATGGGGAAAAATTGCAAAAAATGGGAAAAATTGAGACAGAAATGGGGGGGGAAATGGGGAAAATGGAGAGAAAAATGAGGAAAATGGGGAAAAATGGGGAAAAATGGGAACAAAAAGGGGGAAAATTGGGGGAAATTGGAAAAATTGGTAAAAAAGAGAAAAAAATGGGAAAAATGGAGAAATGGGGAAATGGAGACAAAAATGGGGGGAAAATGGGAGAAATTGGGGAGAAATGGGAGAAAATTGGAGGAAAATGGGAACAAAAAGGGGAAAAATTGGGGGAAATGGGAAAAAATGGGTGAAAATAGAGAAAAATGGGAAAAATGAGAAATGGGGGAAATTTAGACAGAAATGGGAGGGAATGGGGAAAAATGAGGGAAAAAATGTGGGAAAAATGAGGGAAAATGGAGAAAATGGGAACAAAAATAAAATTGGGGGAAATAGGAAAAAATTGATGAAAAAGAGAGAAAAATGGGGGGAAATCAAGAAAAATGGGGGGGAAATGGGAAAAACTTGAGACAAAAATGGGGGAAAATGGGAAAAAAATGGGGAAAAATGCGGGAAAAATGTGGGGAAAATGGGAACAAAAAGGGGAAAATTGGGAATGGGAAAAATGGGTAAAAAGAGAGAAAAATGGGGAAAATGGAGAAAAATGCGGGGGAAATGTGAAAAATGGGGGAAAATTGGGAAAAATTGGAAAAATAGGGGGAAAATGGGAACAAAAATGGGGGGAAAGGGGAAAAATGGGGAAAAATGGGGGAAAAATGTGGGGAAATGGTGAAAAAACAGGGGGAAAACGGGGAAAAAAGAGGGGAAAGGGTCGGTTCTGGTGACTGTGGATTTTGGGGTGAATTCCCGGGATTTTGGGGTGAATTCCCGGGATTTTGGGGTGAATTCCCGGGATTTTGGGGCCGCAGGAGTTCGTGGAGGAGCTGCTGGCGCCGCCCTTGGGAGGGGAAAATGGGGAGAAATGGGGGAAAAGAGAGAAAAATGGGGAAAAATGAGACAGAAATGGGGGGGAATGGGGGGGGAAATGGGGAAAATGGAGAGAAAAATGGGGAAAATGGGAACAAAAAGGGGGAAAATTGGGGGGAAATGGGAAAAATGGGTGAAAAAGAGAGAAAAATGGGGAAAATGGAGAAGAGTGTGGGGAAGAGGGAAAAATGGGGAAAATTGGAAAAATGTGGAGGAAAATGGGAAAAATGGGGAAAAATGGAGAAAAATGGGAACAAAAAGGGGAAAAATTGGGGGAAATGGGAAAAATTGGTAAAAAGAGAGAAAAATGGGAAAAATGGGGGGAAAATTGGAAAAATGGGAAGAAAATGGGAACAAAAATGGGGGGAAAAGGGAAAAATGGGGAAAATGGGGGAAAAATGTGGGGAAAAAAGGGGAAAAACGGGGGGGAAATGGGGAAAAAACGGGGGAAAAATGGGGCAAAAAGAGGGAAAACGGTCGGTTGTGGTGAGTGTGGAATTTGGGGTGAATTCCCGGGATTTTGGGGTGAATTCCCGGGATTTTGGGGTGAATTCTGTGGATTTTGGGGCCGCAGGAGTTCGTGGAGGAGCTGCTGGCGCCGCCCTTGGGAGGGGAAAATGGGGAGAAATGGGGGAAAAGAGAGAAAAATGAGGAAAAATTGCGAAAAATGGGAAAAATTGAGACAGAAATGGGGGAGAAATGGGGAAATGGAGAGAAAAATGGGGAAAATGGGGAAAAATGGGGAAAAATGGAGACAAAAATGGGGGAAAATTGGGGGGAAATGGGAAAAATTGGTGAAAAAGAGAGAAAAATGGGGAAAATGGAGAAGAGTGAGGGGAAGAGGGAAAAATGGGGAAAATTGGAAAAATGTGGAGGAAAATGGGAAAAATGGGGGAAAATGGAGAAAAATGGGAACAAAAAGGGGAAAAATGGGAAAAAATGGGTGTAAAAGAGAGAAAAATGGGAAAAATTGGAAAAATGGGGAGAAAATGGGAACAAAAATGGGGGAGAAATTGGGAAAATGGGGGGAAAATGGGGAAAAATGCGGGGAAAATTGGAAAAATGGGGGCGAAAATGGGTAAAAAAGAGGGGAAATCATCGGTTTTGGTGGTTGTGGGATTTTGGGGTGAATTCCCGGGATTTTGGGGCCGCAGGAGTTCGTGGAGGAGCTGCTGGCGCCGCCCTTCGGGGGCCTGGTCGGGTTCGTGCGCGAGGCCGAAGCGCTGCTGGAGCGCGGAGAGGGAGAGAGACTGCGCGGGCAGGAGGGTGAGTTTGGGGTGAAAAACGGGGAAATTGGGAAAAACGGGAAAAAACAACAATGGGGAGAGAAACTGCGCGGGCAGGAGGGTGAGATTGGGGTGAAAAACCGGGAAATTGGGAAAAAACAACAATGGGGAGAGAAACTGCGCGGGCAGGAGGGTGAGATTGGGGCAAAAAACCGGGAAATTGGGAAAAATGGGAAAAAACAACAATGGGGAGAGAAACTGCGCGGGCAGGAGGGTGAGATTGGGGTAAAAAACCGGGAAATTGGGAAAAAACAACAATGGGGAGAGAAACTGCGCGGGCAGGAGGGTGAGATTGGGGTGAAAAACCGGGAAATTGGGAAAAACGGGAAAAAACAACAATGGGGAGAGAAACTGCGCGGGCAGGAGGGTGAGATTGGGGTAAAAAACTGGGAAATTGGGAAAAATGGGAAAAAACGGGAAAAATGGGAAAATGGGGAGAGAAACTGCGCGGGCAGGAGGGTGAGAATGGGGTGAAAAACCGGGAAATTGGGAAAAATGGGAAAAAACAACAATGGGGAGAGAAACTGCGCGGGCAGGAGGGTGAGATTGGGGTGAAAAACCGGGAAAAATGTGAAAAACGGGGGAGAAATTAGTAAAAACGGGGAAAAAATGTGAAAAAACGGGTTAAAATTTGGGGAAAAGGAAAAAATGGGTAAAAAACTGGTGAAAAAGGGGGGAAAATGGGGAAAAATGGGGAAAAAATGGGGGGAAATGAGTAAAAAACAGGAAAAATGGGGGTAAATGGGGAAAAAAGGAAAAAATTGGAAAATTGGGAAAAATGGGAAAAAACGGGAAAAATGGGGAAAAACAAGAAAAAAACCAGAAAAAATGGGAATGAGGAGAGAAACTGCGCGGGCAGGAGGGTGAGATTGGGGTGAAAAACGGGGAAATTGGGAAAAACGGGAAAAATGGGAATGGGGAGAGAAACTGCGCGGGCAGGAGGGTGAGATTGGGGTGAAAAACGGGGAAATTGGGAAAAATGGGAAAAAACAACAATGGGGAGAGAAACTGCGCGGGCAGGAGGGTGAGATTGGGGTGAAAAAACGGGAAATTGGGAAAAATGGGAAAAAACAACAATGGGGAGAGAAACTGCGCGGGCAGGAGGGTGAGATTGGGGTGAAAAACCGGGAAATTGGGAAAAAACGAGATAAAAATGGGAAAAATGGGAATGGGGAGAGAAACTGCGCGGGCAGGAGGGTGAGATTGGGGTGAAAAACGGGGAAATTGGGAAAAAACGAGATAAAAATGGGAAAAAACAACAATGGGGAGAGAGACTGCGCGGGCAGGAGGGTGAGATTGGGGTGAAAAACCGGGAAATTGGGAAAAAACGGGAAAAAACAACAATGGGGAGAGAAACTGCGCGGGCAGGAGGGTGAGATTGGGGTGAAAAACCGGGAAATTGGGAAAAATGGGGAAAAACAACAATGGGGAGAGAAACTGCGCGGGCAGGAGGGTGAGATTGGGGTGAAAAACCGGGAAATTGGGAAAAATGGGGGGGAAATGGGAAAAAATGGGGAAAAATGGGGAAAAATGGGGGGAAATTGAAAAAAATGGAAAAAATTTGAACAGTTGGGGGGAAATGGGAAAAAACAGGAAAAAACAGGAAAAAATGGGGAAAAAATGGGAAATAAGTGGAAAAATTAGAAAAAACAGGAAAAATGGAAAAAATGGTAAAATCTGGGAAAATTGGGAAAAAATGAGAAAAGGCAGATAAAAAATGGGAAAAATGGGGAAAATGGGGAGAGAAACTGCACGGGCAGGAGGGTGAGATTGGGGTGAAAAACCGGGAAATTGGGAAAAACGGGAAAAAACAACAATGGGGAGAGAAACTGCGCGGGCAGGAGGGTGAGATTTGGGGTGAAAAACCGGGAAATTGGGAAAAACGGGAAAAAACAACAATGGGGAGAGAAACTGCGCGGGCAGGAGGGTGAGATTGGGGTGAAAAACGGGGAAATTGGGAAAAAATGGGGAAAAAATGGGGAAAAAATTGAGGGAAATTGAAAAAAATGGAAAAAATTTGAACAGTTGGGGGAAATGGGAAAAAATGGGAAAAAACAGGAAAAAATGGGAAAAATGGGAAAAAATGGGAAAAATTGGGAAAAAATGTGAAAAAATAGGAAAAAGGGGGAAAAATGCAAAAAAAACCGGAAAAATGGAAAAAATGGGAATGGGGAGAGAAACTGCGCGGGCAGGAGGGTGAGATTGGGGTGAAAAACCGGGAAATTGGGAAAAACGGGAAAAATGGGGAAAAACAACAATGGGGAGAGAAACTGCGCGGGCAGGAGGGTGAGATTGGGGTGAAAAACCGGGAAATTGGGAAAAAACGAGATAAAAATGGGAAAAATGGGAATGGGGAGAGAAACTGCGCGGGCAGGAGGGTGAGATTGGGGTGAAAAACAGGGAAATTGGGAAAAATGGGAAAAAACAACAATGGGGAGAGAAACTGCGCGGGCAGGAGGGTGAGATTGGGGTGAAAAACCGGGAAATTGGGAAAAACGAGATAAAAATGGGAAAAAACAACAATGGGGAGAGAAACTGCGCGGGCAGGAGGGTGAGATTGGGGTGAAAAACCGGGAAATTGGGAAAAATGGGAAAAAACAACAATGGGGAGAGAAACTGCGCGGGCAGGAGGGTGAGATTGGGGTGAAAAACCGGGAAATTGGGAAAAACGAGATAAAAATGGGAAAAAACAACAATGGGGAGAGAAACTGCGCGGGCAGGAGGGTGAGATTGGGGTGAAAAACCGGGAAATTGGGAAAAATGGGGGGAAAATTGGGAAAAATGGGGGGAAATGGGAAAATATGGGGAAAAAATGGGGAAAAAATGGAGGGAAATTGAAAAAAATGGAAAAAAATTTGAACAGTTGGGGGGAAATGGGAAAAAACGGGAAAAAACAGGAAAAAATGGGGAAAAAATGGGGAAAAAATGGGAAATAGGTGGAAAAATTAGAAAAAACAGGAAAAATGGAAAAAATGGTAAAATCTGGGAAAATTGGGAAAAAATGAGAAAAAGCAGATAAAAAATGGGGAAAATAGGGAAAATGGGGAGAGAAACTGCGGGCAGGAGGGTGAGATTTGGGGCAAAAAACGGGGAAATTGGGAAAAATGGGAAAAATTGGGGGAAAATTGAAAAAAATGGGAAAAAATGGGAAAAAATAGGAAAAAGGGGGGAAAACGAGAAAAAACAGGAAAAATTGAAAAAATGGTAAAAAATGGCAAAATTGGGAAAAAATTAGAAAAAACAGGAAAAAATGGGAATGGGGAGAGAAACTGCGCGGGCAGGAGGGTGAGATTGGGGTGAAAAACGGGGAAATTGGGAAAAACGGGAAAAATGGGAAAATGGGGAGAGAAACTGCGCGGGCAGGAGGGTGAGATTGGGGTGAAAAACCGGGAAATTGGGAAAAACGAGATAAAAATGGGAAAAAACAACAATGGGGAGAGAAACTGCGCGGGCAGGAGGGTGAGTTTGGGGTGAAAAACCGGGAAATTGGGAAAAACGGGAAAAATGGGAAAAAACAACAATGGGGAGAGAAACTGCGCGGGCAGGAGGGTGAGATTGGGGTAAAAAACGGGGAAATTGGGAAAAAACGGGAAAAATGGGGAAAATGGGGAGAGAAACTGCGCGGGCAGGAGGGTGAGATTTGGGGTAAAAAACCGGGAAATTGGGAAAAATGGGAAAAAACAACAATGGGGAGAGAAACTGCGCGGGCAGGAGGGTGAGATTGGGGTGAAAAACGGGGAAATTGGGAAAAATGGGAAAAATGGGAAAAAACAACAATGGGGAGAGAAACTGCGCGGGCAGGAGGGTGAGATTGGGGTGAAAAACGGGGAAATTGGGAAAAACGGGAAATATGGGAAAATGGGGAGAGAAACTGCGCGGGCAGGAGGGTGAGATTGGGGTGAAAAACCGGGAAATTGGGAAAAAACAACAATGGGGAGAGAAACTGCGTGGGCAGGAGGGTGAGAATGGGGTGAAAAACAGGAAAAATGGGGGAGAAATGAGTAAAAACAGAAAAAAAAAGGGGGAAAAACGGGTTAAAAATGGGGGGAAAGGAAAAAACAGGGGAAAAAGGGGAAAAATGGGGAAAAAATGGGAAAAAAACGAGGGGAAATGGGTAAAAAACAGGAAAAATGGGGGGAAATGGGGAAAAAAGGAAAAAATTGGAGAATTGGGAAAAAATGGGGAAAAAGTGGGGGAAAATTGGGAAAAATGGGTGAAAAAATGGGGAAAAATGAGGGAAAAACCCGAGAAAACGTGGGGGGAAATAAGGAAAAATGGGGGAAAAAAGGGAAAAACCCAAGAAAACGTGGGGGAAAATAGGGAAAAATGGGGGAAAAAGTGGGGAAAAAGCCATGAAAAAGTGGGGGAAAATAGGGAAAAATGGGGGGAAAAGAGGTGGAAAAAGTGGGAAAAATTGAGGGAAAAATAAGGAAAAACCTGAGAAAAAGCAGGGAAAAATAGGGAAGAATTGGGGGAAATGGAGGAAAAATGGGAATAAAGTGGGAAAGAAGTGGGGAAAGATGGAAAATCCCAGGAATTGTTGGGAACTGCCATTTTCAGCGCGGGTGACGCAGCTGATCCGGGGATTCTCCGGGAGCTGGAAGGGCGCGGTGGAGGGAAAAAATGGGGAAAAATGGGGAAAAAAGTGGGGAAAAAATAGGGAAAAACTCAAGAAAACGTGGGGGGAAATAAGGAAAAATGGGGGGGAAAAATGGGAAAAACCCAAGAAAAAGTGGGGGAAAATAGGGAAAAATGGGGGAAAAAGTGGCGAAAAAAGAGGGAAGAAGTGGGAAAAATTGAGGGAAAAATAAGGAAAAACCTGAGAAAAAGCGGGGAAAAATAGGGAAGAATTGGGGGGAAATGGAGGAAAAATGGGAATAAAGTGGGAAAAAAGTGGGAAAACTTCGGAATTGCTGGAATTGTTGGGAATTTCCGTTTTCAGCGCGGGTGACGCAGCTGATCCGGGGATTCTCCGGGAGCTGGAAGGGGGCGGTGGAGGGAAAAATGGGGACAAAAAGGGGGAAAAAAGTGGGGGAAAAAGAGGGAAAAACCCAAGAAAACGTGGGAGAAAATAAGGAAAAATGGGGGAAAAAAGGGAAAAACCCAAGAAAAAGTGGGGGAAAATAGGGAAAAATGGGCGAAAAAGGTGGAAAAAGAGGGAAAATTTGAGGGAAAAATAAGGAAAAACCTGAGAAAAAGCGGGGAAAAATAGGGAAAAACTGGGGCAAAACGGTGGAAAAATGGGAATAAAGTGGGAAAAAAGTGGGGAAACATGGAAAATTCCAGGAATTGTTGGGAATTGCCATTTCCAGCGCGGGTGACGCAGCTGATCCGGGGATTCTCCGGGAGCTGGAAGGGCGCGGTGGAGGGAAAAAATGGGGAAAAAAGAGGGAAAAACCCAACAAAATGTGGGGGGAAATAAGGAAAAATGGGGGGAAAAAGGGAAAAACCCAAGAAAAAGTGGGGGGAAATAGGGAAAAATGGGGGAAAAGAGGTGGAAAAAGAGGGAAAAAGTGGGAAAAATTGTGGGAGAAACGGGGAAAAAGCGGGAAAAAATAGGGAAAAATTGGGGGAAAACGGAGGAAAAATGGGAATAAAGTGGGAAAAAAGTGGGAAAACTTTGGAATTGCTGGAATTTATGGGAATTTCCATTTGCAGCGCAGGTGACACAGCTGATCCGGGGATTCTCCGGGAGCTGGAAGGGGGCGGTGGAGGGAAAAAATGGGGAAAAATGAGGAAAAATGGGGAAAAAACCCAAGAAAAAATGGGGGAAAATAGGGAAAAATGGGGGAAAAAGTGGGAAAATTGAGGGAAAAAGTGAGAAAAATTGTGGGAAAAATAAGGAAAAACCTGAGAAAAAGCGGGGAAAAATAGGGAAAAATTGGGGGAAAATGGAGGAAAAATGGGAATAAAGTGGGAATAAAGTGGGAAAAAAGTGGGAAAACTTCGGAATTGCTGGAATTTATGGGAATTCCCAATTCCAGCACGGGTGACGCAGCTGATCCGGGGATTCTCCGGGAGCTGGAAGGGCGCGGTGGAGGCGCTGAGCCAGGACGTGATGAGATCCTTCAGCAACTTCCGCATCGGCACCGGCATCATCCAGGTGGGAGCGATTCCCAAAATTCCCCAAATTCCCGGAATTCCCGTAATTCCCTCCTCGGGAGCTTTTCCCGCCCCTCTCCCGCTTTTTCCCCCCATTCCCAGCAGTTTTCCCGCTTTTTTTCTGCTTTTCTCCCCTAATTTTTAGCATTTTTCCCGATTTTTTCCACCATTTTCCCTCCTTTTTTCCCATTTTTTCCTCCTTTTTCCCATTTTTTACTCCTTTTTCTCATTTTTTCTCTTTTTTCCCCATTTTTCTCTTTTTTCCCCATTTTCCCCTTCTATTTCCCATTTTCACGCCTTTTGCCCCATTTTCCCTCTTTTTATGCTTCTTTTCCCCTCTTTTTTCCATTTTCCCCTCCTTTTCTCCCATTTTTTCCTCCTTTTTCCCATTTTCCCCTATTTTTCCGCATTTTCCCCTCTTTTTTTCCCATTTTTCTCTTTCTTTTCCATTTTCCCCCTCTTTTTTCCCCAATTTTACCCATTTTTCCCTCTTCTTTTCCCATTTCCCACTTTTTTCCCATTTTCCTGCCTTTTCCCACATTTTTCTCCCATTCTACTTCTTTTACCCTCTTTTTTTTCCATTTCCCCCTCTTTTTCCCATTTTTATGTTTTTTTCCCTCATTTTTCTCTCTTTTTTCCCATTTTTTTCTCTTTTTCCATTTTTTCCTCCTTTTCCCCATTTTTCTCTTCTATTCCCACATTTTTCTCTTTTTCTGCTTCTTTTTCCTCTTTTTCCCCATTTCCCCTTTTTTCCCCATTTTCCCTCTTTTTTTCCCATTTTTCCCTCTTTTTCCCATTTTCCTGCCTTTCCCCCCCATTTTCTCTTTTTCTGCTTCTTTTTTCCTTTTTTCCCCAATTTTTTTCCATTTTTCCCTTTTTCCCCCATTTTTCCCTCATTTTCCCCATTTCCCTACTTTTTCCCATTTTCCTTTCTTTTCCTGCTTCTTCTTTCCTCTTTTTCCCATTTTCCCCTCTTTTTTTTTTTTGCATTTTTCCTCTTTTTTCCCCATTTCCCCACCTTTTTCCCCATTTTTATTTTTTGCTTCTTTTTCCCCTCTTTTTTTCCATTTTCACCTCCTTTATCCCCATTTTTTCCTTTCCTTTTCCCATTTTCCCTCCTTTTTTCCCATTTCCCCCCCTTTTTTCCCTGTGTTTTGCTCTTTTTTCCATTTTTTTCTCTCTTTTTTTCCCTCTTTTTTTCCCTGATCCGAGGGGGAAAGGGGAAAAAATGGGGGGAAATGGAAAAAATTGGGAGAAAAATGGGGGGAAATGGGGAAAAGTGGGAAAAAGGTGGGGGGGAATGGGAAAAAATTGGGATAAGAGTGTGGAAATTTGGGAATTCTCATTCCCGGTTTTCCAGGCATTGCTGACTCAGCAGATCCCAGGGGGAAAGAGGAAAAAATGGGGAAAAATGGGGAAAAAAACAGGAAAAATGGTTAAAAAATGGGAGAAAACTGGGACAAAAGTGGGATAAAAGTGTGGAAATTCGGGAATTCTCATTCCCATTGTTCCGGGAAGTGCTGACTCAGCTGATCCCGGGGGGAAAGGAGAGAAAATGGGAGAAAAATGAGGGGAAAATGGGTAAAAATGGGGGGAAAAACCAGAAAAAAATGGTTCAAAAATGGGAGAAAAGTGGAAGAAAACTGGGAAAAAAGCGGGATAAGAGTGTGGGAATTTGGGAATTCCCATTCCCGGTTTTCCCGGTGGTGCTGACTCAGCAGATCCTGGGGGGGGGGGAGGGGAGGAAAGGGAAAACATGGGAGAAAAATGGGAGAAAAATAGAAAAAAATAGGAAAAAAAAACAGGAAAAGAATGTTAAAAACCGGGAAAAAATTGGGATAAGAGTGTGGGAATTTGGGAATTCCCATTCCCAGTTTTCCAGGCGTTGCTGACTCAGCAGATCCTGGGGGTAAAGGGGAAAAAATGGGAGAAAAATGAGGGAAAAATGGGTAAAAATGGGGGAAAAAAACATTAAAAAATGGTTAAAAAATGGGAGAAAAGTGGAAGAAAACTGGGAAAAAATTGGGATAAGAGTGTGGGAATTTGGGAATTCTCATTCCTGGTTTTCCAGGCATCGCTGACTCAGCAGATCCTGGGGGGAAAAGGGAAAAAATGGGGAAAAAATGGGAAAAATATGAGAGGAAATGGTAGAAATATGGGAGAAATACGGGGAAAAAATGGGATAAAATTGTGGAAATTTGGGAATTCTCATTCCCGTTGTTCTGGGAAGTGCTGACTCAGCAGATCCAGGGGGAAAGGGGCAAAACTGGGAGAAAAATGAGGGAAAAATGGGGAAAAATGGGGGAAAAAAACAGAAAAAAATGGTTAAAAAATGGGAGAAAAGTGGAAGAAAACTGGGAAAAAAGCGGGATAAGAGTGTGGAAATTTGGGAATTCTCATTCCCGGTTTTCAGGCAGTGCTGACTCAGCAGATCCCGGGGGGGAAAAGGGAAAACATGGGAGAAAAATGGGAGAAAAATAGAGAAAAACCAGGGAAAAACCCAGGAAAAAATGTTAAAAATTGGGAAAAATTGGGATAAGAGCGTGGAAATTTGGGAATTCTCATTCCCGGTTTCCAGGCGGTGCTGACTCAGCAGATCCCGGAGGGAAACGGGAAAAATGGGGAAAAATGGGAAAAATATGTGAGGAAATGGTAGAAATATGGGAAAAATTGGGATAAAAGTGCGGAAATTTGGGAATTCTCATTCCCGTTGTTCCGGGAAGTGCTGACTCAGCAGATCCAGGGGGAAAGGAGAGGAAATGGGAGAAAAATGAGGGAAAAATGGGGGGAAAACAGAAAAAAAATGGTTAAAAAATGGGAGAAAAGTGGAAGAAAACTGGGAGAAAATTGGGATAAGAGTGTGGGAATTTGGGAATTCTCGTTCCCGGTTTTCCAGGCATTGCTGACTCAGCAGATCCTGGGGGGAAAGGGGAAAAAATGGGGGAAAAATGGGAAAAACATGAGAAGAAATGGGAGAAATACGGGAAAAAATTGGGATAAAAGTGTGGAAATTTGGGAATTCTCATTCCCGGTTTTCCAGGAATTGCTGACTCAGCTGATCCAGGGGGAAAGGAGAGAAAATGGGAGAAAAATTAGGGGAAAATGGGGAAAAAACAGAAAAAAATGGTTAAAAAATGGGAGAAATGTGGAAGAAAACTGGGGAAAAATTGGGATAAGAGTGTGGAAATTTGGGAATTCCCGTTCCCTGTTTTCCAGGCGGTGCTGACTCAGCAGATCCCGGGGTGAAAGGGGAAAAATGGGGAAAAATGGGAAAAATATGAGAGAAAATGGTAGAAATATGGGAGAAATACGGGGAAAAATTGGGATGAAAGTGTGGAAATTCGGGAATTCTCATTCCCGTTTTTCCGGGAAGTGCTGACGCAGCTGATCCCGGGGGAAAGGAGAGAAAATGGGAGAAAAATGAGGGAAAAATGGGGAAAAAACAGAAAAAAATGGTTAAAAAATGGGAGAAAAGTGGAAGAAAACTGGGAAAAAAGCGGGATAAGAGTGTGGAAATTTGGGAATTCTCATTCCCGGTTTTCCAGGCGGCGCTGACTCAGCAGATCCTGGGGGGAAAGGGGAAAAATGGGGAAAAATGGGAGAAAAATAGAGAAAAAACGGGGAAAAAAAACAGGAAAAAATGTTAAAAACTGGGAGAAAATTGGGATAAGAGTGTGGGAATTTGGGAATTCTCATTCCCGGTTTTCCAGGTGGTGCTGACTCAGCAGATCCCGGGGGGAGGGGGGAGGGGGGAAAGGGAAAACATGGGAGAAAAATTGGGGAAAAACAGAGAAAAAGTGGGGAAAAAAAAACAGGAAAAAATGTTAAAAAACGGGATAAAAGTGGGATAAAAGTGTGGAAATTTGGGAATTCTCATTCCCGTTGTTCCGGGAAGTGCTGACTCAGCTGATCCCGGGGGAAAGGAGAGAAAATGGGAGAAAAATGAGGGAAAAATGAGGAAAAAACAGAAAAAAATGGTTCGAAAATGGGAGAAAAGTGGAAGAAAACTGGGAAAAAATTGGGATAAAAGTGTGGGAATTTGGGAATTCCCATTCCCGGTTTTCCAGGCGGTGCTGACTCAGCAGATCCCAGGGGGGAAAGGGGAAAAATGGGGAAAAATGGGAGAAAAATAGAGAAAAAACAGGGAAAAAACCCAGGAAAAAATGTTAAAAATTGGGAAAAAGTTGGGATAAGAGTGTGGGAATTTGGGAATTCTCATTCCCGTGGTTCCGGGAAGTGCTGACTCAGCTGATCCAGGGGGAAAGGGGAAAAAATGGGAGAAAAATGAGGGAAAAATGGGGAAAAATGGGGGGAAAAAGCAGAAAAAAATGGTTAAAAAATGGGAGAAAAGTGGAAGAAAACCGGGAAAAATTTGGGATAAGAGTGTGGGAATTTGGGAATTCTCATTCCCGGTTTTCCAGGCGGTGCTGACTCAGCAGATCCTGGGGGGGAAAAGGGAAAGCATAAGAGAAAAATGGGAGAAAAATAGAGAAAAAATGGGGGAAAAACCCAGGAAAAAATGTTAAAAATTGGGAAAAAAGCGGGATAAGAGTGTGGGAATTTGGGAATTGTCATTCCCAGTTTTCCAGGAATTGCTGACTCAGCTGATCCAGGGGGAAAGGAGAGAAAATGGGAGAAAAATGAGGGAAAAATGGGTAAAAATGGGGGGAAAAAAACAGAAAAAAATGGTTAAAAATGGGAGAAAAGTGGAAGAAAACTGGGAAAAAATTGGGATAAGAGTGTGGGAATTTGGGAATTCCCGTTCCTGGTTTTCCAGGTGGTGCTGACTCAGCAGATCCTGGGGGGGGGGGGGGGGAAGGGAAAACATGGGAGAAAAATAGAGAAAAAAATGGGGAAAAAAAACAGGAAAAAATGTTAAAAACTGGGATAAAATTGGGATAAGAGTGTGGGAATTTGGGAATTCCCATTCCCGGTTTTCCAGGCGGCGCTGACCCAGCTGATCCAGGTGTACCACCGCTTCCAGAAGGTTCTGGAGCAGCCGCCCCTGCGGGCGCTGCCGGCCCGCGCCGACCTCATCAACATCCACCACCTGATGGTGGAGCTCAAAAAGCACAAACCCAACTTCTAACCGCCCCGAAATCCCGGGAATTCGCCCCAAAATCCTGGGAATTCGCCCTGAAATCCCGGGAATTCACCCCCCAGAATCCTGGGAATTCTGCCCAAAAATCCCGAGAATTCTGCCCAAAATCCCAGGAATTCACCCCGAAAATCCTGGGAATTCACCCCCCAGAATCCTGGGAATTCACCACAAAAATCCTGGGAATGCTGCTCAAAAATCCTGGGATTCCTTCCCCGAAAATCCTGGGAATTCATTCCAAAATCCCGGGAATTCACCCCGAAATCCCGGGAATTCACCCCCAAAATCCCAGGAATTCACCCCCCAGAATCCTGGGAATTCATTCCCAAATCCCGGGAATTCACCCCAAAATCCCGGGAATTCACCACAAAAATCCTGGGATTCCTCCCCTGAAAATCCTGAGAATTCTGCTCAAAAATCCTGGGAATTCTGCCCAAAAATCCCGGGAATTCACCCCCAAAATCCTGGGAATTCACCCCCCAGAATCCTGGGAATTCGCCACAAAAATCCTGAGAATTCACCACAAAAATCCTGGGATTCCTCCCCCCAAAATCCCGGGAATTCTGCCCAAAAATCCTGGGAATTCCTCCCTAAAATCCTGGGATTCCTCCCCCAAATCCCGGGAATTCTGCCCAAAAATCCCGGGATTTTTTACCCAAAAATCCTGGGATTCCTCACCCAGAATCCTGGGAATTCACCCCCCAGAATCCTGGGAATTCACCCCGAAATCCCGGGAATTCACCCCCAGATCCCAGGAATTCACCCCCCGGAATCCTGGGAATTCTGCCCAAAAATCCCGGGATTCCTTCCCCAAAAATCCCAGGAATTTTCCCCAAAATCCTGGGAATTCACCCCCCAGAATCCTGGGAATTCTGCCCAAAAATCCTGGGATTCCTTCCCCGAAAATCCTGGGAATTCATTCCAAAATCCTGGGAATTCACCCCCAAAATCCCAGGAATTCACCCCCCAGAATCCTGGGAATTCTGCCCAAAATCCTGGGATTCCTCCCCCAAAAATCCCGGGATTCCTCCCCCAAAACTCCCAGGAATTTTCCCCAAAATCCTGGGAATTCACCCCCCAGAATCCTGGGAATTCACCACAAAATCCCGGGAATTCATCCCCCAGAATCCTGGGAATTCTGCCCAAAAATCCTGGGAATTCATTCCAAAATCCCGGGAATTCACCCCGAAAATCCTGGGAATTCACCCCCCAGAATCCCGGGAATTCACCCCCCAAAATCCTGGGAATTCATTCCAAAATCCCGGGAATTCACTCCAAAATCCCGGGAATTCACCCCGAAATCCTGGGAATTCACCCCCCAGAATCCTGGGATTCCTCCCCCAAAATCCTGGGAATTCACCACAAAAATCCCAGGAATTCACCTCAAAATCCCGGGAATTCACCCCCCAAAAATCCTGGGAATTCCCCCCTAATTTCAAGAATTCACCCCAAAAATCCCAGGAATTCACCCCAAAAAATCCTGGGAATTCTGCCCAAAACTCCCGGGAATTCCCCTGAAAAATCCCAGGAATTCATCTTTAAAATCCCAGAAATTCTTCCCAAAAATACAGACATTTTCCCCAAAAATCCTGCCCAAAAATCTTGGGAATTTCCCCTAAAAATCCCAGGAATTTTTTCCAAAACTCCCAGGAATTTTCCCCAGAAATCCCGGGAATTCCCCCCAAAATCCCAGGAATTTTTCCCCGAAATCCTGGGAATTCACCCCAAAAATCCCAGGAATTCACCCCAAAATCCCGGGAATTCACCCCAAATCCCCAATTCCCGATTTTCCCCCCAAAATTCCCGATTTTCCCCCCAAAATTCCCGATTTTCCCCCCAAAATTCCCGATTTTCCCCCCGAAATTCCCGCCGGGAATAAAATCCGGAGGCTCCGAGTGTTGGTTTATTGCTGCTGGTGACAGCGGGGGGGGAAGGGGGGGGGGAGGAAATTTGGGGAATTTTTTAGGAATTTTGGGGCGTCCGGGTGAGGTTTGGGGTCCCCCACCCCCCCCAGGCTCCAGGGGACCCCGAAATTCCCCAAAATTCCCGAAAATTCCCCCAAATTCCCCCCCAAATCTGAGCCCCCCCCCCGGGAGCTGAGGGGGGAGGGGCCCTGAGGGGATTTTGGGGATCCCCGGGGGGGATTTTGGGGATTTTTGGGAATCCCCGAGGGAATTTTGGGGACCCCAAGGATGGAATTTTGGGGTTCCTGTGGAGATTTTTTGGGGTTCCCAAGTGAATTTTGGGGACCCCCGGGGCAGTTCTGGCCTCTCTGGGGTGGAATTTTGGGCTTCTCCCGGATTTTGGGGCTCCCCAAGTGAATTTTGGGGCTCCCGAAGTGAATTTTGGGGATCCCCGGGGTGGAATTTCGGGGTTCCCGTGGAGACTTTTGGAACCCTCAGGTGAATTTTGGGGCTCCCCGAGTGAATTTTGGCATCCCTGGGTTGGGTTTTGGGGTCCCCGGGTTGGATTTTGGGGAATTTCGGGGTCCCCTGTGTGGATTTTGGGGTCCCCGGGTGGATTTTTGGGTCCCCAGATCAATTTTGGGGTGCCCAGGTGGATTTTAGGGGTGCCCAGATGAATTTTGGGGTCCCCAGTTGGATTTTTGGGGCATTTTGGTGTCCCTGGGCTGGATTTTGGTGTCCCCAGATGGATTTTGGGGTCCCCAGATGGATTTGGGGGTCCCCAGATGAATTTTGGTGTCCCCAAATGATTTTTGGGGTCCCCAGATGGATTTTGGGGTGCCCAGATGAATTCTGGGGTCCCCAGATGGATTTTGGGGTCCCCAGATGGATTTTGGGGTCCCCAGGTGGATTTTGGGGTCCCCGGTTGGATTTTGAGGTGCCCAGGTGGACTTGGGGGTCCCCAGATGGATTTTGGGGTCCCCAGACGAATTTTGGGGTCCCCAGGTGGATTTTGGGGTCCCCAGATGGATTTTGGGGTCCCCAGATGGATTTCGGGGTCCCCGGTTGGGTTTCGGGGTGCCCGGTTGGATTTTGGGGTCCCCGGTTGGATTTTGGGGTCCCCAGTTGGATTTTGGGGTCCCCAGGTGGATTTGGGGTGCCCAGATTAATTTTGGGGTGCCTGGTTGGGATTTTGGTGTCCCCGGATGGATTTTGGGGTGCCCGGTTGGGTTTTTAGGTCCCTGGTTGGATTTTGGGGTCCCAAGATGGATTTCGGGGTGCCCGTTTGGATTTTGGGGAATTTTGATGTTCCCCAGATGGATTTTGGGATCCCCAGATGGATTTCAGGGTCCCCGGTTGGGTTTTTAGGTCCCCAGGTGGATTTTGGTGTCCCCGGTTGGATTTTGGGGTGCCCAGTTGGATTTTGGGGTCCCTGGTTGGATTTTTGGGGCGTTTTTGGCTATTTCTGCTCCTTGCTGGGGGCGTAGAAGAGCTCCAGGGGTTTGCTGAGCTTCCAGAACTTCTCGTTCACCAACTCCAGCGTCAGCGACCCGTTCAGCGGCTGGGGGAAAACGGGGGGTCAGCGCCCCAAAAATATCCCAAAATCACCTCAAAAATACCCCAAAATCACCCCAAAAATATCCCAAAATCACCCCCAAAAATATCCCAAAATCACCCCAAAAATATCCCAAAATCACCCCAAAAATATCCCAAAATCACCCCCAAAAATATCCCAAAATCACCCCAAAAATATCCCAAAATCACCCCAAAAATATCCCAAAACCCCCCCCGGACCCGTTCAGCGGCTGGGGAGAAACGGGGGGTCAGCACCCCAAAAATATCCCAAAATCACCCCAAAAATATCCCAAAAACACCCCAAAAATATCCCAAAAACACCCCAAAAATATCCCAAAATCACCCCAAAAATATCCCAAAATCACCCCAAAAATATCCCAAAAACACCCCAAAAATATCCCAAAAACACCCCAAAAATATCCCAAAAACCCCCCCAAAACCACCCCAAAATCACCCCAAAACTACCCCAAAAACACCCCAAAAATATCCCAAAAACACCCCAAAATCACCCCCAAAATCACCCCAAAACCCCCCTGGGACCCGTTCAGCGGCTGGGGAGAAACGGGGGGTCAGAACCCCAAAAATATCCCAAAATCACCCCAAAAATATCCCAAAATCACCCCAAAAATATCCCAAAATCACCCCAAAAATATCCCAAAATCACCCCAAAATCACCCCCAGGACCCGTTCAGCGGCTGGGGAGAAACGGGGGTTCAGCGCCCCAAAAATATCCCAAAATCACCCCAAAAATATCCCAAAAACCCCCCCAAAAACACCCCAAAATCACCCCAAAAATATCCCAAAATCACCCCCAAAAATATCCCAAAATCACCCCAAAAATATCCCAAAATCACCCCCAAAAATATCCCAAAAACCACATGAAAAGTACCCAAAAATCACCCCAAAAATCCCCCCAAAACCCCAAAATTCACCCCCAAAAAAACCCCTGAAATTCCCCCCAAAATTCACACAAAAATCCCCCCCAAAAAAACCAAAGTTCCCCCAAAACTCCCAAAATTCTCCCAAAACCACAAAATCCCCTCGAAAAACCCCAAAATCCCCCCCAAAAAAACCCAAATTCCCCCCAAAAAAACCCCAAAAATCCCCCCCAAAAACCCCAAAATCCCCCCAAAAAAACCCCCAATTCCCCCCAAAAAACCCCAAAATTCCCCAAAAAAACCCCCAAAATCCCCCGAAAAACCACAAAATTCTACCGAAAAAACCCAAAATTACCCCAAAAATCCCCCCTAGAACAACAAAAAAATACCCCCCCCAAAAAAACCCAAAATACCCTAAAAGTGCCCCCAAAAAACCCAAAATTCCCCCCAAAACCCCCCAGGAAACCCCAAAATTGCCCCAAATTGCTGCCTCACTTCCGGGTTTTACCGGAAGTGCTGGTGATGACATCACAGGAAGTGGTGTCGGCCATGTTTGTCAGCCATGTTTGTCGGCCATGTTAATTTGTCAGCCATGTTTGTTTCTCAGCCATGTTTGTCTGTCAGCCATGTTTGTCAGCCATGTTTGTCTGTCAGCCATGTTTGTCAGCCATGTTTGTCAGCCATGTTTGTCAGCCATATTTGTCAGCCATGTTTGTCAGCCATGTTTGTCAGCCATGTTTGTCAGCCATGTTTGTCAGCCATATTTGTCAGCCATGTTTTTCATCCGTGTTTGTTTGTCAGCCATGTTTGTCAGCCATGTTTGTCGGCCATGTTTGTCAGCCATGTTTGTCAGCCATATTTGTCAGCCATATTTATCAGCCATATTTTTCAGCCATATTTTTCAGCCATGTTTGTCGGCCATGCTTGTTTGTCGGCCATGTTTGTTTGTCAGCCATATTTTTCAGCCCCGTTCCCCATCCCCGTCCCCATCCCCGCTCCCGCCCGCCCGGTGCCGTTACCGTGAAGGCGCCGCCGTTGGCGCCGCTGTAGATGCCGTACTGCTTCTCGCTGACCTCGCCCAGCGCGGGGGCGGGGTCAGCCCCGGGGGGCGGGGCCTCCTCCAGCGCGATGCGCAGCGCCAGGTACTTGGACAGGTGATCCACCGTGGCGTTCGACGTGGTTTTCACAAACCTGCAGGGGGAAAATCGGGATAAATCCATGGGAAAACGGGAATTCCAGGGTGGGAGGGGAGTCTGGAAAAAACTGGGAAAATCTGGGGAAAAATGGGAAAAAAATGGGGGGAAAATGGGGAAAAAATGGGAAAAAACACGAAAAAGTGGAACAGGAAGTGGAACAGGAAGTGGAACAGGAAGTGGAATAGGAAATGGAACAGGAAGTGGAACAGGAAGATGAAGATAACGATGAAGATGATGAAGATGAAGGCCACTCACCGTGTCTGGCAGTACTCGCCCTTCTCCACCAGCAGCGGGTGTGGCCGGAACACCAGCTCGATCTCGCTGCTCCCGGCCTCGGCCTCGGCCTCGGGGCTGCCCCGCCCCCCGGGCCCGGCCCCGCCCCCGGCCCCGCCCGGCCCCGCCCCCTCGGCGGCGGGCTCGGCCTCGGGGTCGGGCCCGGAGTCGTCGGAGGCGCGGGAGCGTTTCCGGCTGGGCCCCGGCGGCTCCGGCGCCGCCCCCAGCGCCTCCAGCCCCTCCTCGCCCCCCGAGAAGCCCGCGGGGTCCGACTCGGCCGCCAGCTTCCGCACCCGCTGCGCCCTGCCGGGAAATAACGGGGTTTAGGGGGAAATAATGGGGGAAATAATGGGGAAAATAATGGGGTTTTAGGGGGAAAATAATGGGGTTTTAGGGGGAAAATAATGGGGTTTTAGGGGGAAATAATGGGGAAAATAATGGGGGTTTATAATGGGGAAAAATGGGATTTTAGAGAAAAAAAACATGGGATTTTAGAGAAAAAAATAATGGGGAAAAAATGGGATTTTAGGGGAAAATAATGGGGAAAATAATGGGGTTTTAGGGGGAAAATAATGGGGGAAAAAAGGGGATTTTAGGGGGAAAATAATGGGATTTTATAGGGAAAATAATGGGGGAAAAATGGGGTTTTGGAGAAAAAATAATGGGATTTTAGAGGGAAAATAATGGGATTTTAGGGGGAAAATAATGGGATATTAGGGGGAAAATAATGGGGAAAATAATGGGATTTTAGGGGAAAAATAATGGGATTTTAGGGGGATAATAATGGGGAAAAAATGGGATTTCAGGGGGAAAATAATGGGATTTTAGGGGGAAAATAATGGGATTTTAGGGGGAATATAATGGGGAAAAATAATGGGATTTCAGGGGGAATATAATGGGATTTTAGGGGGAAATAATGGGGAAAATAATGGGATTTTAGGGGAAAAATAATAATGGGATTTTAGGGGGAAAATAATGGGGAAAAAAATGGGATTTTAGGGGGAAAATAATGGGGAAAATAATGGGATATTAGGGGGAAAATAATGGGGAAAAATGGGGTTTTAGGGGAAAAATAATGGGATTTTAGGGGGAAAATAATGGGGAAAAATGGGGTTTTAGAGAAAAAAACATGGTATATTAGAGAAAAAAATAATGGGGAAAAATGGGATTTTAGGGGGAAAATAATGGGGAAAAATAATGGGATATTAGGGGGAAAATAATGGGGGAAAATAATGGGATTTTAGGGGGAAAATAATGGGGGAAATAATGGGATTTTTGGGGAAAATAATGGGATTTTAGGGGGAAAATAATGGGGAAAATAATGGGATTTTCGGGGAAAATAATGGGGTTTTAGGGGGAAATAATGGGGAAAATAATGGGATTTTAGGGGGAAAATAATGGGGGGAAGAAGGGGATTTTAGGGGGAAAATAAACTAATTTTGGGAATTTCCCCGGACCTGTGCATGGCCTGCAGCTGAACAGGAATTTCAGGAATTTTTGTGGATTTGGGTGAATTTGGTGCCATTTCTGAGCCATTCCTGAGCCATTTTTTCCCCCTTTTTCGCCCCGTTTCCACACCAAACCCCCCAAAATCCTGGGAAAACTCAGGAATTTTGGGAATTGTGCCCGGACCTGTGCCTGGCCTGCAGCTGAACAGGAATTTCAGGAATTTTCATGGATTTGGTTGATTTGGTGGCCATTTCTCAGATATTTTTGCCCCATTTTAAGCCATTTTTGCCCCGTTTTTCGCCCCGTTTTCACCCAAAACCCCCCAAAATCTCGTAAAAACTCGGGAATTTTGGGGAATTTCCCCAGACCTGTGCATGGCCTGCATCTGAACAGGAATTTCGGGAATTTTCATGGATTTGGTTGATTTGGTGGCCATTTCTCAGATATTTTTGCCCCGTTTTAAGCTATTTTTCCCCCATTTTTCGCCGCGTTTCCACCCCAAATCCCCCAAAATCCTGGAAAAACTCGGGAATTTTAGGAATTTCCCCGGACCTGTGCCTGGCCTGCATCTGAACAGGAATTTCAGGAATTTGTGTGGATTTGGGTGAATTTGGTGCCATTCCTGAGCCATTCCTGAGCCATTTTTTCCCCGTTTTTCGCCCCGTTTTCACCACAAACCCCCCAAAATCCCGTAAAAACTCGGGAATTTCGGGAATTTCCCCGGACCTGTGCCTAGCCTGAAACCCGAACAGGAATTTCGGGAATTTCAGGAATTTTCATGGATTTGGTCAAATTTGGTGCCATTTCTGAGCAATTTTTGCCCCGTTTTAAGCCATTTTCCCCCCGTTTTTTGCCCCGTTTTCACCCCAAACCCCCCAAAATCCCGGGAAAACTCGGGAATTTTGGGAATTTTCCCCGGACCTGTGCCTGGCCTGCAGCTGAACAGGAATTTCAGGAATTTTCATGGATTTGGTTGATTTGGTGGCCATTTCTCAGATATTTTTGCCCCGTTTTAAGCCATTTTTCCCCCATTTTTTGCCCCATTTTAACCCTCAAAGCCCCCCAAAATCCCGGAAAAACTCGGGAATTTCGGGAATTTTTCCCGGACCTGTGCCTGGCCTGCATCTGAACAGGAATTTCAGGAATTTGTGTGTATTTGGGTGAATTTGGTGCCATTTCTGAGCCATTTTCTGCCATTCCTGAGCCATTTTTTCCCCGTTTTTCGCCCCGTTTCCACCCCAAACCCCCCAAAATCCCGGAAAAACTCGGGAATTTTGGGAATTTCCCCACACCTGTGCATGGCCTGCATCTGAACAGGAATTTCAGGAATTTTTGTGGATTTGGTTGATTTGGTGGCCATTTCTGAGCCATTTCTGAGCCATTTTTCCCCGTTTTTCGCCCCGTTTCCACCCCAAACCCCCCAAAATCCCGGGAAAACTCGGGAATTTCGGGAATTTTCCCCGGACCTGTGCTTGGCCTGAAACCCGAACAGGAATTTCAGGAATTTCAAAAATTTTCATGGATTTGGTTGATTTGGTGGCCATTTCTGAGCAATTTTTGCCCCGTTTTAAGCCATTTTTACCCCGTTTTTACCCCAAACCCCCCAAAATCCCGTAAAAACTCGGGAATTTCGGGAATTTTTTCCGGACCTGTGCCTGGCCTGCATCTGAACAGGAATTTCAGGAATTTTCGTGGATTTGGGTGTATTTGTGGCCATTCCTGAGCCACTTCCCCCATCTTGGGTCCAATTTTGCCCAATTTTCGCCCCGTTTTCACACCAAACCCTACAAAACCACCCCAAAATTCCACAAAAATTCGGGAATTTCAGGAATTTTCCTGAACCTGTGCTTGGCCTGTACCTGAACAGGAATTTCAGGAATTTTTGTGGATTTGGTTGAATTTGGTGCCATTTTTGAGGAATTTTTGCCCCATTTCTGAGCCATTTTTGCCCTGTTTTAAGCCATTTTTACCCCCTTTTTCGCCCCGTTTTCACCCCAAACCCCCCAAAATCCCGGGAAAACTCGGGAATTTGGGGAATTTCCCCGGACCTGTGCCTGGCCTGCATCTGAACAGGAATTTAAGGAATTTTTGTGGATTTGGGTGAATTTGTGGCCATTCCTGAGCCACTTCCTCCATCCTGGGTCCAATTTTGCCCAATTTTGACACCATTTCCAGCCCAAACCCCCCAAAATGGCCCCAAAATCCCAGAAAAAAAAAGGGAATTTGGGGAATTTCCCTGGACCTGTGCATGGCCTGAAACCTGAACAGGAATTTCAGGAATTTTCAGACATTTGGGTGATTTGGTGGCCATTTCTGAGCCATTTTCTGCCATTTCTGAGCCATTTCTACCCTGTTTTTCGCCCCGTTTTCACTCCAAACCCCCCAAAATCCCGGAAAAACTCGGGAATTTTGGGAATTTTCTCCAGACTTTTGCCTGGCCTGCATCTGAACAGGAATTTCAGGAATTTTTGTGGATTTGGGTGAATTTGGTGCCATTCCTGAGCCATTCCTGAGCCATTTTTCCCCTGTTTTTCGCCCCGTTTTCACTCCAAACCCCCCAAAATCCCGGAAAAACTCGGGAATTTTGGGAATTGTGCCCGGACCTGTGCCTGGCCTGCATCTGAACAGGAATTTCAGGAATTTTCATGCATTTGGTCGAATTTGGTGCCACTTCTGAGCCATTTTCTGCCATTTCTGAGCCATTTTTTCCCCGTTTTTCGCCCCGTTTTCACTCCAAACCCCCCAAAATCCCGGGAAAACTCTGGAATTTCGGGAATTTCCCCGGACCTGTGCATGGCCTGAATCTGAACAGGAATTTCAGGAATTTTCATGGATTTGGTTGAATTTGGTGCCATTTTTGAGGAATTTTTGCCCCATTTCTGAGCCATTTTTGCCCCGTTTTAAGCCATTTTTACCCCGTTTTTCGCCCCGTTTCCACCCCAAACCCCCCAAAATCCCGGGAAAACTCTGAAATTTCGGGAATTTCCCCGGACCTGTGCCTGGCCTGCATCTGAACAGGAATTTCAGGAATTTTCATGGATTTGGTAGGATTGGTGGCCATTTCTCAGATATTTTTGCCCCGTTTTAAGCCATTTTTTCTCCATTTTTACCCCAAACCCCCCAAAATCCCGTAAAAACTCGGGAATTTGGGGAATTTCCCCGGACCTGTGCATGGCCTGCATCTGAACAGAAATTTCAGGAATTTTCATGGATTTGAGGGAATTTGGTGCCATTCCTGAGCCATTTTTTCCCCGTTTTTCGCCCCGTATTCACTCCAAACCCCCCAAAATCCCGGGAAAACTCGGGAATTTTGGGAATTTCCCCGGACCTGTGCATGGCCTGCATCTTGAGCCCCTCCTCGATGCTGGAGCTGAGCGCCTGCTGGTTGTGCAGGCGGCTGAGCTTGGCCAGCACCCGGTCCTGGTGCGCCTCGTACTCGTCCCGGCTCGGGTAAATCTTGGAGATGAGCGCGTCGAAGTTGGGGTCCGGCCGCAGAGAGCGCTTGGACACCAGCTTCTTCCGGCACGTGGGACACTCCTTGTTCCTGGGGGAAAAAAGGGGAAATTATGGGAAAATTGGGGAAAAATATGGGGGAAAAACAGGGAAAAATTGGGGAAAAAACGGGGAAAAAATGGGGGAAAAAACAGGGTAAAAATAACGGAAAAAAGGGGGGGAAAATAAGGAGGAAATGGGCAATGGGCAATGGGCAGCTTCTTCCGGCACGTGGGACACTCCTTGTTCCTGGGGAAAAACAGGGGAAATTATGGGGAGAAATTGGGGAAAAAATGGGGGGAATAATGGAAAAAACAGGGAAAAAATTGGGGAAAAAACGAGGAAAAAATGGGGAAAAAATGGAGGGAAAATGGGGGGAAAATGGGCAATGGGCAATGGGCAATGGGCAATGGGCAATGGGCAATGGGCAATGGGCAGCTTCTTCCTGCACGTGGGACACTCCTTGTTCCTGGGGAAAATATGGAAATTCATGGGGAGAAATTGGGGAAAATTGGGGGAAAAACGGGGAAAAAATGGGGAAAAAATGGGGGAAAAAACAGGGTAAAAATAAGGGAAAAAAGGGGGGAAAATAAGGAGGAAATGGGCAATGGGCAATGGGCAATGGGCAGCTTCTTCCTGCACGTGGGACACTCCTTGTTCCTGGGGAAAAAATATAGAAATTAATGGGGAGAAATTGGGGAAAAATTGGGGGGAAAATTGGGGAAAAAACGGGGAAAAAATGGGGCAAAAAATGGGGTAAAAATAAGGGAAAAAAGGGGGGAAAATAAGGAGGAAATGGGCAATGGGCAATGGGCAATGGGCAATGGGCAGCTTCTTCCTGCACGTGGGACACTCCTTGTTCCTGGGGAAAACAGGGAAAATTATGGAAAAATTGGGAAAAATTGGGGGAAAAATTGGGAAAAATTTGGGGGAAAAATTGGGGGAAAAAACGGGGAAAAAATGGAGGAAAAATGGGGAAGAAATGGGCAATGGGCAATGGGCAGCTTCTTCCTGCAGGTGGGAATTCCTGGGGAAAAATATGGAAATTCATGGGGAGAAATTGGGGAAAAAATGGGAAAAAAATTGGGGAAAAGTTGGGGAAAAATCAGGGGAAAATTGGGGGAGAAATGGGCAAAGAACGGGCAAAAAACAGGGAAAAAAGGGCAATGGGCAATGGGCAATGGGCAATGGCAGCTTCTTCCTGCACGTGGGACACTCCTTGTTCCTGGGGAAAAATATGGAAATTCATGGGGAGAAATTGGGGAAAAAATGGGGAAAAATTGGGTAAAAAACAGGGAAAAAATGGGTGAAAAAATGGAGGAAAAATGGGGGGGAAATGGGGAAAAATCGGGGAAAAAATCGGGAAAAATTGAGGGGAAAATGTGGAAAAATCAGGGGGAAAATGGGGGAAAATCAGGGAAAAATGTGGAAAAATCAGGGGAAAATTAGGAAAGAAACAGCGAAATATTGAAGGAAAAAACGGGGGAAAAAATGGGGGAAAATAAGGAAGAAATGGGCAATGGGAAACGGGCAATGGCAGCGTCTTCCTGCAGGTGGGACACTCCTTGTTCCTGGGGGGAAAAACAGGGGGAAATTATGGGGAAAATTGGGGAAAAAATGGGGAAAATTTGGGGAAAATTGGGGAAAAATTGGGGGAAAAATTGGGGAAAAAACGGGGAAAAAATGGGTGAAAAAATGGGGGAAAATGGGGAAGAAATGGGCAATGGGCAATGGGCAATGGGCAATGGGCAGCTTCTTCCTGCAGGTGGGACACTCCTTGTTCCTGGGAAAAACAGGGAAAATTATGGGAAAATCTGGGAAAAAATGGGGAAAAATTGGGGAAAAAACGGGGGAAAATTGGGGGAGAAACGGGCAAAGAACGGGCAAAAAACAGGGAAAAAATGGGGAAAAAATGGGGGGTAAATGGGGAAAAATGAGGAAAAAATCGGGAAAAATTGAGGGGAAAATCAGGGAAAAATGGGGAAAAATCAGGGGAAAATTAGGAAAGAAACAGGGAAATATTGAGGGGAAAAATGGGGGAAGAATGGGGGAAAGGATGGGGGAAAATGGGGAAGAAATGGGCAATGGGCAATGGGCAATGGGCAGCTTCTTCCTGCAGGTGGGACACTCCTTGTTCCTGGGGGGAAAAACAGGGAAAATTATGGGGAAAAAATGGGAAAAATTTGGGGGAAAATTGGGGGAAAAACAGGGAAAAAATGGGTGAAAAAATGGAGGAAAAATGGGGGGGAAATGGGGGAAAACGGGGAAAAAAATGGGGGGAAAATGGGGAAAAATCAGAGGGAAAATGGGGAAAATCAGGGAAAAATGTGGAAAAATCGGGGGAAAATTAGGAAAGAAACAGGGAAATATTGAGGGGAAAACGGGGGGAAAGAATGTGGGAAAAAATGGGGAAGAAATGGGCAATGGGCAATGGGCAATGGGCAGCTTCTTCCTGCACGTGGGACACTCCTTGTTCCTGGGGAAAACAGGGAAAATTATGGGGAAAAAATGGGAAAAATGTGGGGAAAAATTGGGGAAAAAATGGGGAAAAAATGGGGAAAAAATGGGGGAAAATGGGGAAGAAATGGGCAATGGGCAATGGGCAGCTTCTTCCTGCAGGTGGGACACTCCTTGTTCCTGGGGGGAAAAACAGGGAAAAATTATGGGGAAAATTAGGGAAAATGTGGGGAAAAAATTGGGGAAAAAATGGGAAAAATTGGGAAAAATCCGGGAAAAAATTGGGGAAAAAACGGGGAAAAATGGGGAAAAAAACGGGGAAAAATGGGAGGGAAAATGGGGGAAAAATGGGGGGAAAATGGAGGAAAAAATAGGGGGAAAATGGGGAAAAATCAGGGGGAAATTCAGGGAAAAATGTGGAAAAATTGGGGGAAAATTAGGAAAGAAACAGGGAAATATTGAGGGGAAAAATGGGGGAAAGAACAGGGGGAAAAAATGGGGGAAAATGGGGAAGAAATGGGCAATGGGCAATGGGCAATGGGCAATGGGCAGCTTCTTCCGGCACGTGGGACACTCCTTGTTCCTGGGGAAAAACAGGGAAAATTATGGCGCAAATTGGGGGAAAAATGGGGAAAATTTGGGGAAAAAATGGGGAAAAAACGGGGAAAAAATGGGGAAAAAAAATGGGGGGAAAATGGGGAAAAAATGGAGGGAAAATGGGGGGAAAATGGGCAATGGGCAATGGGCAGCTTATTCCGGCACGTGGGACACTCCTTGTTCCTGGGGAAAAACGGGAAAAATATGGAAAAATTATGGGGAAAAAATGGGGAAAATTGGGGGAAAAAATTGGGGGGAAAATGGGGGAAAATTGGGGAAAAAACGGGGAAAAAATGGGGAAAAAAAATGGGGGAAAATGGGTAAGAAATGGGCAATGGGCAATGGGCAATGGGCAGCTTCTTCCTGCACGTGGGACACTCCTTGTTCCTGGGAAAAACATGGAAATTCATGGGGAAAATCAGGGAAAAATATGGGGAAAAATTGGGGAAAAAATGGGGAAAAAATGGGGAAAAAATGGGAGAAAATGGGGAAGAAATGGGCAATGGGCAATGGGCAATGGGCAGCTTCTTCCTGCAGGTGGGACACTCCTTGTTCCTGGGGGAAAAAACAGGGAAAAATATGGAAAATCACTGGGGAAAATCGGGGAAAAAATGGGAAAAATCGGGGGAAAAATTGGGGAAAAAACAGGGAAAAAATGGGGGGGAAACGGGCAAAGAACGGGCAAAAAACAGGGAAATGGGCAATGGGCAATGGGCAGCTTCTTCCTGCACGTGGGACACTCCTTGTTCCTGGGGAAAAACAGGGAAAATTACGGGAAATTATGGGGAAAAAATGGGGAAAATTGGGGGAAAAATTGGGGAATAAATGGGGAAAAAATGGGGAAAAAACGGGAAAAAATTGGGGAAAAAACGGGGAAAAATGGGGAAAAAAACGGGGAAAAATGGGAGGGAAAATGGGGGAAAAATGGGGGAAAAATGGAGGAAAAAATAGGGTAAAATGGGGAAAAATCAGGGGGAAAATTAGGAAAGAAACAGCGAAATATTGAGGGGAAAAACGGGGGAAAGAATGGGGGAAAATAAGGAAGAAATGGGCAATGGGAAACGGGCAATGGCAGCTTCTTCCTGCAGGTGGGACACTCCATGTTCCTGGGGAAAAAAACAGGGAAAAATATGGAAAATTATGGGGAAAAATCGGGGGGAATAATGGAAAAAAACAGGGGAAAAACAGGGGGAAAATTGGGGAAAAAATTGGGGAAAAAATGGGTGAAAAAATGGAGGAAAATGGGGAAGAAATGGGCAATGGGCAATGGGCAATGGGCAATGGGCAGCTTCTTCCTGCAGGGGGGACACTCCTTGTTCCTGGGGAAAAAATATGGAAATTCATGGGGAAAAAATGGGAAAAAATGGGGAAAATTTGGGGAAAAAATGGAGGAAAAAACAGGGAAAAATTGGGGGGGAAACGGGCAAAGAATGGGCAAAAAACAGGGAAAAATGGGCAATGGGCAATGGGCAATGGGCAATGGGCAATGGGCAGCTTCTTCCTGCAGGTGGGACACTCCTTGTTCCTGGGGGAAAACAGGGAAAAATATGGGGAAAATTGGGAAAAAATTTTGGGGAAAATTGGGGAAAAATTGGGGAAAAAACGGGGAAAAAATGGGGAAAAAAAATGGGGGGAAATGGGTAAGAAATGGGCAATGGGCAATGGGCAATGGGCAGCTTCTTCCTGCACGTGGGACACTCCTTGTTCCTGGGAAAAACATGGAAATTCATGGGGAAAATTGGGGAAAAAATGGGGAAAATTTGGGAAAAATTGGGGAAAAAACGGGGGGAAAACGGGGGAAAAAATCAGAGAAAAATCAGGAGGGAAAAAGTGGGGAAAAATCGGGGGAAAATCAGGGAAAAATCAGGGGGGAAAAAGTGGGGAAAAAATCAGGGGAAAAATCAGGGAAAAATCAGGGGAAAATCGGGGGGAAATCAGGGGAAAAATCGGGGGGAAACGGGAAAATCAGGGGAAAAACGGGGAAAAATTAGAGAAAAATTGGGGGGAAAGAATGTGAAAAATCAGGGTAAAAACAGGGAAAAGTCAGGGAAAAATCAGGGGGAAAACAGGGACAGAACAGGGGGAAAATCAGGGAAAAAACAGGGGAAAACGGAGAAAAAATAGAGAAAATTTGGGGGAAAACAGGGGGGAAAAACGGGAAAGATCAGGGAAAAATCAGGGAAAAATCAGGGAAAAATCAGGGGGAAATGGGGAAAAATCAGGGAAGAAGGAGGGGAAATGGGGAAAAATTGGGGGGAAAACGGAAAAATCAGGGGGAAAAAACAGGGAAAAATCAGGGGAAAATCGGGGGAAAACGGGGGGAAATCAGGGAAAAATCAGGGGGAATGGGGAAAAATCAGGGAAGAATGGGGGGAAATGGGGAAAAAAAAGAGAAAAATTGGGGGAAAATGGGGAAAAAAATGGGAAAAATCGGGGAAAAATCAGGGAAAAATCAGGGGAAAATCACGGGGGAAATGGGGAAAATGGGGAAAATCGGGGAAAATAGGGAAAAATTGGGGGGAAATCGGGGGAAAATGGGGAAAATTTTGGGGGAAATTTTGGGAAAATCAGGGGGAAAATGGGGAAAAATCAGGAGAAAATCAGGGAAAAATGGGGGAAAATCAGGGAAGAATGGGGGGAAATGGGGAAAAAAAGAAAAAATGGGGGAAACGGGGAAAAAATGGGAAAAATCGGGGAAAAATCAGGGGGGAAATGGGGAAAAATTGGGGGGAAATTGGGGCAAAATGGGGAAAAATCAGGAGGAAAATGGGGAAAAATTTGGGGGAAATTTGGGGAAAATCAGGGGGAAAATGGGGAAAAATCAGGAGAAAATCAGGGAAAAATCGGGAAAATCAAGGGGGAAAGGGGGAAAAATGGGGGAAAATCAGGGGAAATGGGGAAAATTTGGGGTGAAATTTGGGGAAAATGGGGAAAATTTGGGGGTAAATGTGGGGAAATTGGCGAAGGGGATTTGGGCCTTGGGCGGCTCCTGCTCCGGCCGGGCCGGGGGAAACGGGAGAGAAACGGGAAAAATGGGAAAAAGGGACCTGGGAGTGACTGCGGGGACAGGGACACCGTGACACTGACACACAGGTGACAATGACACAGGTGACAATGACACGGGTGGCACTGGTGACATGGGACAGTGACACAGGTGACACAGGGGTGACAGTGACACAGGGGTGACAGTGACACAGGTGACAATGACACAGGTGACACACAGGTGACAGTGACAAAGGTGTGACAGTGACACAGGTGACACAGGTGACACGGGTGGCACTGGTGACACTGGGACAGTGACACAGGTGACAATGACACAGGTGACACACAGGTGCCACACACAGGGGCGACAATGGCACAGGTGACAATGCAACAATGACAGGTGACAGAGGTGACAATGGCACATGTGACAGTGACACAGGTGTGACAGTGACACAGATGACACAAGTGACACAGTGACACAGACAGGTGGCAATGGCACAGGTGACACAGGTGACACACAGGTGACAGTGACAAAGGTGTGACACTGACACAGATGACAATGACACAGGTGTGACAGTGACACAGGTGACAATGACACTGACCCGCTCCTGAGCGCGGTGACGATACAGTCGGAGCAGAAGCGGTGCAGACACAGGGGTGACAGTGACACAGGTGACACACACAGGTGTGACAGTGACAGAGGTGTGACAGTGACACAGGTGACACAGGTGACACACACAGGTGACAGTGACACAGGTGACATACCCACTCCTGAGCGCGGTGACGATACAGTCAGAGCAGAAGCGGTGCAGACACAGGTGTGACAGTGACACAGGTGTGACAGTGACACAGACACAGGTGTGACAGTGACACCGGTGACACACACAGGTGACACAGGTGACACAGGTGACAATGACACTGACCCGCTCCTGAGCGCGGTGACGATACAGTCGGAGCAGAAGCGGTGCAGACACAGGGGTGACAGTGACACAGGTGTGACAGTGACACCGGTGACACACACAGGTGACAGTGACACAGGTGACAATGACACAGGTGACACAGGTGACACAGGTGACACAGGTGACACAGAGGTGACACTGACCCGCTGCGCAGCGCGGTGACGATACAGTTGGAGCAGAAGCGGTGCAGACACAGGGGTGACAGTGACACAGGTGTGACAGTGACACAGGGGTGACAGTGACACAGGGGTGACAGTGACACACACAGGTGACAATGACACAGGTGACATACCCGCTGCGCAGCGCGGTGACGATACAGTCGGAGCAGAAGCGGTGCAGACACAGGTGACAATGACACAGGTGTGACACACACACAGGTGACAATGACACAGGTGACACAGAGATGACAATGACACAGGTGACAATGACACTGACCCGCTGCGCAGCGCGGTGACGATACAGTCGGAGCAGAAGCGGTGCAGACACAGGGGTGACACAGACACAGGGGTGACAGTGACACAGGTGACAATGACACAGAGGTGACACTGACCCACTCCTGAGCGCGGTGACGATACAGTCGGAGCAGAAGCGGTGCAGACACAGGTGTGACAGTGACACAGGTGACACACAGGTGACACAGGTGACAATGGGACAATGACACAGGTGACATACCCACTCCTGAGCGCGGTGACGATACAGTCGGAGCAGAAGCGGTGCAGACACAGGGGTGACAGTGACACAGGTGACACACACAGGTGACACAGGTGACACAGGTGACACAGAGGTGACACTGACCCGCTCCTGAGGGCGGTGACGATACAGTCGGAGCAGAAGCGGTGCAGACACAGGGGTGACAATGACAGTGACACAGGTGACAATGACACAGGTGACAATGACACAGGTGACAATGACACACAGGTGACACACAGGTGACACACAGGTGACACTGACCCGCTGCGCAGCGCGGTGACGATACAGTCGGAGCAGAAGCGGTGCAGACACAGGGGTGACAATGACAGTGACACAGGTGACAATGACACAGGTGACAATGACACACATAGGTGACAGTGACACAGGTGACACAGGTGACACAGGTGACAATGACACTGACCCGCTGCGCAGCGCGGTGACGATACAGTCGGAGCAGAAGCGGTGCAGACACAGGTGTGACACAGACACAGGTGTGACAGTGACACAGGTGTGACAGTGACACAGGTGTGACAGTGACACAGGTGACAATGACAGGTGACAATGACACAGGTGACACAGGTGACAATGACACTGACCCGCTCCTGAGCGCGGTGACGATACAGTCGGAGCAGAAGCGGTGCAGACACAGGGGTGACAATGACAGTGACACAGGTGACAATGACACAGGTGACAATGACACACATAGGTGACAGTGACACAGGTGACACAGGTGACACAGGTGACAATGACACTGACCCGCTGCGCAGCGCGGTGACGATACAGTCGGAGCAGAAGCGGTGCAGACACAGGTGTGACACAGACACAGGTGTGACAGTGACACAGGTGTGACAGTGACACAGGTGTGACAGTGACACAGGTGACAATGACAGGTGACAATGACACAGGTGACACAGGTGACAATGACACTGACCCGCTCCTGAGCGCGGTGACGATACAGTCGGAGCAGAAGCGGTGCAGACACAGGGGTGACAGTGACACAGGTGTGACAGTGACACAGGTGTGACAGTGACACAGGTGACACAGGTGACACACACAGGTGACACACAGGTGACATACCCGCTGCGCAGCGCGGTGACGATACAGTCGGAGCAGAAGCGGTGCAGACACTCTTTGGTGGTCATGGTGTTCTTCAGCATGTCCAGGCAGATGGGGCACATCAGCTCCGAGTGTAGGGACCGAGGGGACACCGCGATCTCCGTGCCGTCCATGATGGCCTCCTGGGGACAGGGACAGGGACATCAGTGACATCAGTGACACCCCTGTGACACCCCTGTGACACCCCTGTGACAGTGACATCAGCTCCGAGTGCAGCGAGCGCGGGGACACCGCGATCTCCGTCCCGTCCATGATGGCCTCCTGAGGGGACAGGGACATCAGTGACATCAGTGACACCCCTGTGACAGTGACACCCTGTGACAGTGACATCAGCTCCGAGTGTAGCGACCGAGGGGACACCGCGATCTCCGTCCCGTCCATGATGGCCTCCTGGGGGGACACTGGGGACATCAGTGACATCAGTGACATCAGTGACACCACAGTGACACCACAGGGACACCCCTGTGTCACTGACATCAGCTCCGAGTGCAGCGAGCGCGGGGACACCGCGATCTCTGTGCCGTCCATGATGGCCTCCTGGGGACAGGGACATTGGGGACAGCAGTGTGACACCAGTGACATCCTGAGACAGTGACACCCTGTCACAGTGACATCAGCTCCGAGTGCAGCGACCGAGGGGACACGGCGACCTCTGTGCCATCCATGATGGCTTCCTGAGGGGACAGTGACATTGGGGACATCAGTGACATCAGTGTGACATCAGTGACACACTGAGACATTGGTGACATCAGTGACAGCCACAGGGACACCACAGTGACACCGCGATCGCCGTCCTGTCCATGATGGCCTCCTGGGGACAGGGACATCAGTGACATCAGTGACATCAGTGACAGCCACAGTGACACCCCTGTGACAGCCACAGTGACATCACAGTGACACCGCGATCTCCGTCCCGTCCATGATGGCCTCCTGGGGACAGTGGGGACATTGGGGACATCAGTGACACCCCTGTGACAGGGACACCCCTGTGACACTGCTGTGACACTGCTGTGACACTGCTGTGACACGGCGATCTCCGTGCCGTCCATGATGGCCTCCTGAGGGGACATTGGGGACATCAGTGTGACATCAGTGACACCCTGAGACATCAGTGACAGCCCTGTGACAGTGACACCCCAGTGACAGTGACATCAGCTCCGAGTGCAGCGACCGAGGGGACACGGCGATCTCCGTGCCGTCCATGATGGCTTCCTGGGGACAGGGACAGTGACATCAGTGTGACACCCTGAGACATCACAGACACCCCTGGGGACACTGGGGTCAGTGTCACCCATGGGACACCCTGAGGACATCGGGGACATCAGTGACACCCCTGAAGAAACTGTGGGGACACCGCGATCTCCGTGCCACCCACAATGGCCTCCTGGGGACATTGGGGACATCAGTGACACCCTGAGACATCAGGGACAGCCCTGGGGACACCACAGTGACACTCTGGGGATACCACGATCTCTGTGCCACCCACAATGGCCTCCTGGGGGGACATTGGGGACATCAGGGACACCCTGAGACATCAGTGACACCCCTGGGGACACCCTGAGGACGTCGGAGACATCAGGGACAGCCCTGGGGACATCCCTGTGACACGATGGCCTCCTGAGGGGACATTGGGGACATCAGTGACACCCCTGGGGACACCGCAGTGACACCACTGTGACACCACAATCTCTGTGCCACCCACAATGGCCTCCTGGGGGGACACTGGGGACACCGTGGGGACATTGGGGTCAGTGACACCCATGGGACACCCATGGGGACACTCTGGGGACAGCTCCGACCCCCCAAATTTCACAGCTTTCCCCCAGATTTCAGAGTTTTCCCCCAAATTTTGGGGTTTCCTCCCAAATTTTGGGTTTTCATCCCCGAATTTTGGGGTTTCCTCCCAAAATTTTGGGGTTTTCCCCCAATCCCGACCCCGAAATTTTGGGATTCTCGCCCAATTTTGGAATTTTCCACCCCAAATTTTGGGTTTTCATCCCCGAATTTTGGATTTTCATCCCCAAATTTTGGAGTTTCTCCCCCCAATTCCGGCATTTTCCCCCAAAATTTTGGGATTTCTCCCCAGTTTTGGGGTTCCTCCCCAAATTTTGGGTTTTCATCCCCGAATTTTTTGTCTTCCTCCCAAATTTTGGGGTTTCCTCCCAAAATTTCAGAGATTTCCCCCAATTTTTTGTTTTCCTCCCCCAATTTTGGGGTTTCCCTCCCAATTTTGGATTTTCCTCTCCAATTTCAGGGTTTTCCTCCCCAAAATCCGACATTTTCCTCCCCCAATTTTGGGTTTTACTCCCCAATTTTTGGGATTTTCCCCCAAATTTGGTATTTCTCCCCCCGGTTTTGTCATTTTCCTCCCCAGATTTTGGGATTTTCACCCAAATTTGGTGTTTCTCCCTCCAATTTTGGCATTTTTCTCCACAAATTTTGGGGTTTTCACCAAATTTTGGCATTTTTCTTCCCAAATTTTGGGCGCTCCCCCCAAATTCGGCCGTTTCCCCCCAATTTTGGGTTTTCCTCCCCAAATTCTGTGTTTTCCCCCAATTTTGGGGTTCTCCCTCCATTTCTGGCCATTTCCTCCCAAAATTTTGGGGGTTTTCCCCAAGTTTGGGGTTTCCCTCCCCAAATTTTGGGCATTTTCTCCCCAATTTTGGGTTTCCCTCCACAAATTTTCGTGTTTCCCCCCCAAATTTCGGGTTCCCCAAATTTCGGGTTCCCCAAATTTCGGGTTTCCCTCCAATTTTGACTCCCCAATTCTGGGGTTTTCCCCCAATTCTGACCCCCCAAATTTTGCTTTTCACCCAAAATTTGAGTTTACCCCCCCAAAATTTGGGTTTACCCCCCAAATTCGGTTTAACCCCCCAAAATTTGGGGGTTTCCCCCAAAATTTCCGTTTTCCCCCCTAAACTTGGGGATTTCCCCCAAATTTCAGCTTTTCCCCCAATTCCGACCCCCCAAATTTGGGGTTTCTCCCCCAAATTGGATTTTCTCCCCCAAATTTGACTTTTCCCCAAATTTCGGATTCTCCCCAATTCTCACCCCGCAGATTTCGGCGTTTTCCCCCCAAAATTTAAATTTTTCCCCTCCAAATTCCTGTTTCCCCCCTGAAATTTGAGGCTTCCCCCCCAATTTGTTTTTTTCTCCCCAAATTTCGCTTCCCCCCCAGTTCCGACTCCCCAAATTTGGGTTTTTCCCCCAAAATTCGGTTTTTCCCCCAAATTCCGCTTTTCCCCCCGAAATTTCGGGTTCCCCCCAAGTTCCGACTCCCCAATTCGGGGGTTTCCCCCATTTCCGACCCCGCAGATTTCGCTGTTCCGCCCCAAATTTCGCTGTTTCCCCCCAAATTTCGCTGTTTCCCCCCAAATTCGGGTTTTTCCCCCAAATTCGGGTTTTTCCCCCCAAACTGCGCCGTTACCTGCGGGGTGCGGTGCAGCTCGTACAGACTCAGCTCCCACGTCTTGCTGGCGCTCTGCGCGCTGGCGGGGGCGGCCATGGCCCCCCAAAACCCCCCCCGGGACCCCCAAAATGCCCCAAAATCCCCAAAAATCCCCCAAAAAATCCCCAAAATCCCGCCCGAGCCGCGCGACGCCGCCGCCGCTTCCGGGTGGCGCCGCCGGATGACGTCACGGGGAGCGGCGGCCAATGGGAGGCGCCGCTGGGCTCGGCCGGGGCGCGCGGGAGGGGGCGTGGCCATGGGGGCGTGGCGTCACCTTCATTTGCATCGGTGAGGGGCGTGGTTATGTAGATGAAGGGGCGGGGTTTGCACAGCGTTCGCGCGCTCTTTGTGGGCGCGGTTATGTAAATTAAGGCGCTGGGGGCGGGGTTTGAACGCGATTCTGGTTCCGTATGGGGCGTGGTTATGTAAATTAAAACAAGGGGCGTGGTTTAAGCGAGTTTTAAGCGCGGTTTGTGGGCGCGGTTATGTAAATTAAGCAGCAAAGGGGGCGTGGTTTAAGCGAGTTTCGAGCGCGGTTTGTGGGCGCGGTTATGTAAATTAAGCCGGAAAGGGGGCGTGGTTTAAACGCGTTTCGGGCGCTGTTTGTGGGCGCGGCTATGTAAATTAGGGCGCTGGGGGCGGAGTTTAAACGCTATTCTGCTTATGTGGGGGCGTGGTTATGTAAATTAAGCACTGGGGGCGGGGCTTAAACGCTATTCTGTCTCTGGGGCGTGGTTATGTAAATTAGAACAAGGGGGCGTGGTTTGACCTAATTTCGGGTGCGGCTTGTGGGCGCGGTTATGTAAATTAAGCCGGAAAGAGGGCGTGGCTAAAGGGCATTTAAAGCATTGCTTTCGGGGCGTGGCTATGCAGATGAGGACAAGAAAGGGGCGTGGTTTAATCGCGATTCCACCCTTTGTTTGCGGGCGCGGTTATGTAAATTAGGAGGAGAAAGGGGCGTGGTTCAAACGCGATTTTATGCCGGGCTGGGGGCGTGGTTATGCAGATGAGGGGGCGGGGCGGTGTGTGGTGGGCGTGGTTTTTTATCTTCCCGGATTTTTCCATCCCAGAATGGAGGAGGAGAAAAAAAAAATGGAAAGAAAAATTTGAATAAATTTAAATAAATTTAAGTAATTTAAATGGTGGAAAAGGAAATTTAAATATCAGAAATAGAGATTTATTGGGGATGTTAAATCTGGGGAAAAATGGGAATTTGGGGGGAAAAATGGGAATTTTGGGGGGAAAAATGGGAATTATTGGGGGGGAAATGGGAATTTTGGGGGCAAAAAGGGGAATTTGGGGGGAAAAATGAAAATTTTGGGGGAAAAAATGGGGATTTTGGGGAAAAAAATGGGAATTTGGGGGGAAAAATGGGAATTTTGCGGGGTAAAACAGGAATTTTGAGGGAAAAAATGGGAATTTTGGAGGCAAAAATGCCCCCAAAAATCCCACCCCAAATCCCAAAATCCCAACCCAGAAATCCCAAAAATCCCAACCCCAAAATTCCCCAAAATCCCCCCAAAATTCAAAAAAAACTCCCCAAAATCCGCCCAAAATCCCCCCAAAATTCTCCCCAAAATTCCCAAATTTTTCTCTCCCAAATCCCCCCAAAATTCTCCCCAAAATTCCCAAATTTTTCTCTCCAAAATCCCCCCAAAATCCCCCCAAAATTCCCTAATATTCTCCCCAAAATTCCCAAATTTTCTCTCCCCAAATTCCCCCCAAATTCCCCCAAAAATTCCCAAATTTCCCCCCCAAAATTCCCAAATTTTCTCCCCAAAATTCCCAAATTTTCCCCCCAAAAATCACCGAAACGGCCCCAAAATTCCGTTTTTGAAGCAGCAAATTTTAATCACCGAAAATCCAAAAGCTTTTTTCGGGAAGGGAAATTTGGGAATTTTGGGGATTTTGGGGATTTTTCGGGAATTTTTGGGGAATTTTGGGACCTTCCAGAGCCCCCCAAAAATCGGGGGTGGAAGGGGCCAAAGTGCTCGCGGGGGGGGGGGGAAATTTGGGAATTTTGGGGAAAATTTTGGGAATTTTGGGGAAAATTTGGGATTTTTTGGGGGGAAATTTGGGGATTTGGGGGGAAAATTGGGGAAATTTTGGGGATTTTCTGGGGGAAATTTTGGGGGGAAAATTGGGATTTTTTTGGGGGGAATTTGGGGGTTTTGGGGGAATTTTGGGGGAATTTGGGGATTTGGGGGAAAATTGGGAATTTTTGGGGAAATTTGGGGATTTTTGGGAGAAATTTGGAGAAATTTGGGGGAATTCGGGGGATGTTGGGGAAATTTTGGGGATTTTTGGGGAAATTGGGAATTTTGGAGGAAATTTTGGAATTTTGGGTGAAAATTTGGGAATTTGGGGGGAAATTTCAAATTTTGGGGGGAAATTGGGAAAATTTTGGGGGAAATTTTGGGGGAAATTTGGGAAATTTTGGGGCAAAATCCTCCAAAAACGCCTCCGGGAATTGGGGATTTGGGGGATATTTGGGGGATATTTGGGGGATTTTTGGGGGATTTTTTGGGATGTTTTTGGGATTTTTGGGGGAATTTTTTTGGGGATTTTTTTTTTGGGATTTTTTTTTTTCCGGGGATTTTTTTTTCTGGGGATTTTTTGGGAATTAGTTGGGATTTTTTGGGGGGATTTTTGGGGAATTTTTGGGGGATTTTTCGCAGATATTTGGGACATATTTTGGGGCTATTTGGGGATTTTTGGAGGATTTTTTGCAGCTCTTTTGTGGATATTTTGGGGCTATTTGGGGGATTTTTTGAGGATGTTTTGCAGCTATTTGGGAGATATTTTGGGGCTATTTTGGGGCTATTTCGAGGATTTTTTGCAGATCTTTGGGGCTGTTTTGTGGCTATTTTGTGGATATTTTAAAGATTTTTTGCAGCTATTTGGGACATATTTTGTGGCTATTTGGGGGCATATTTTGGGTATATTTTGGGGATATTTTGAGGATCTTTTGCAGCTCTTTTGTGGATATTTTGGGGCTATTTTGTGGCTATTTTGGGCTGGTTTTGGGGCTGTTTTGGGGATTTTTGGGGGATTTTTTGCAGATATTTGGGGCGTATTTTGAGGCTCTTTTGGGGATTATTTGGGGATATTTTGGGGGATTTTTTGCAGCTCTTTTGTGGATATTTTGTGGATATTTTGGGGCTATTTTGTGGCTATTTTGGGCTGGTTTTGGGGATTTTTGGGGGATTTTTTGCAGATATTTGGGGCGTATTTTGAGGCTATTTTGTGGATATTTTGAGGATTTTTTGCAGCTCTTTTGTGGATATTTTGGGGCTATTTTGTGGATATTTTGGGGATTTTTTGCAGCTATTTGGGAGATATTTTGTGGATATTTTGGGGATTTTTTGTGGGTATTTGGGAGCTATTTTGGGAGTATTTTGGGCGGTTTTGGGTCAGTTTTTGGGGCTCAGGAGAGCTGGTGGGGCGCCTCCAGCATCTCCATCAGGAAGGTGTCGATGGGCGTGTCCCCGATCAAGGAA